CGCATAAAATGAGGCCATGGCACAGGTTACCCAGCTGTGTGTTCAAACAATTCTAAATGTATGCTAAGTCTTATGGGACTCCTTGTGCAAAAGCTTATAGAAAGTATTTTTGGATCAGAAATCCTAACTCTACTACGAGCATTGTTTATATATACCTTCAACTTTATACAGTGCATCCAGTGCTTTCCTCCGGTATCACTGCCCTAAGATAGCTGCATTCATTGACCTAACAACAGCCATGATCTCTATTCTCTTTTAGGCATTTCTGCCCCTGCTGAAGATGGCGGCTCAGAGATATCCCCAGGAAGGGCTGAGCTGCTGCAAGGCAGCCATTATCAATACCTCCAGTGCTGCAGGCTCCATGGAAGTTATGCTGTTATGGGAAAGAAAGATGACTGTTGCCTATCGCTGCAGTAAGGTACCTTATGTGAAATCCATGTGAAACTGTCTGCTCCCTCCCCTGCCCTGCTGCGACTATCTTTCCAAATGATAGCTGTATGTGTGCATCTGCGCAATAATCATGCATTGCCCACAGATAAATGTTGAGAGACAAACTTCTGTTGTGAGGATGTTGCATTTTCTAAAACAGTAGATGGCATGAAGGGAAGATACCAGGATGTTTTCTACAAATAAATAGCATGTGTACAGTCCTTTTCTTCTTGCAGAACCTAGAACAAACATTTAAAGCTACAAATCAGTTAGCAAAATGATGCAGCCAACAAGCATGGGGAACACTCACAAATGCCTGTCAAAAATCTTGTTCAAGAGTGGTGTCCATGATAGATAACTTCCAAGTTGCTAGTTTTTGTGTCAGGAACGCTCAATGATGTCCAGTTTCTCTTACAAACCTCTCTGCCTGCAAATCCTTTCTAGCCACCTTGCTATCCATATGAAGCAGCTCCCCGCAGTTCAAGGCACCCTCTGCTCATGGTTTGTTTTTTCTCCCTTGTAGGCTGCTTTAAACATGCTCACCAAGTGCCAGTCACTCACGTATCCAGCTTATGGGATTCTGTGTGTTTGCATCCATCCTGGCTGGGTGAAAACTCAACTCAATTTCGTAAGTGCTCAAGGCTTTTGGTAATCATAGAAAAGGTGGGCAACCCTATAGGATGATATTTAACAAATTCCTTGACATTTTTAGTTGGATGGTGGTGCCTGAGTAGCTCCAGTGCCCCATCCTTCACTGCTTGGAGGTATTAAAAGCACAAGAGCAAGGCAATGAAGGGAGCATCTATGAGTTGGTGCTTCTAATAATATCCAAAATTGCTCCTGGAAAAGCAAGCATAGTCCTCTGAGGCCTTGCAGTGAACTGCTATCCTTTGGCATGCATGGCCACTTGGTTGTCTTTCATAAAGCAATGTTTAATGTGCAGACTGAAATCTTATAACGAAGACATCTAACAGCATCTAGGCCTTCTGCTATTTGATGCTCAAGAATGACTTTTTCCGAACTTAAGAAATCCTTCACTTACAATATTTTTCTTCACAGGAGGCGGACCTGACTGTAGAAGAGAGTACACGAGGAATAATTCATGTTCTCTCCACACTTTCTGAGGTGGATAACGGTACCTTTGTGGACTGGGAAGGACGCAGAGTACCCTGGTGAGGGATTTGTTTCACGATGCCAGGGGGTTTACCACTCTAGGATTCTGCCTAGAGAGCATCCAATAAACTACCTGGGATTCAAGGGAAAATGTTTTTGACTCTTTTCTTCCTTCAGAAGGTTCCATTGAAGACTAGTTTTCATGCAGAATTGTTTTTAAGGACTAGCCATGGATTGAAAGATCTTTCAGTCTGAGGGTCACATTCCCTCATGAGCCCCCTTATGGGGGCTGGATGCCAATGCCAGGTGGGGGTGGGTGGCACTGGTGAGACAAAGGCAAAAGTGGGCAGGGCAAGGTTGTGAATATTACCTTTCCATGGAACAGGATGGAGGGCCACAGATTCCCCATCTCTGGTAAAGAAGGCTACATACAAAAGCCAGAGGTATTTAGTGCGTGCAACTTGCTGTTGTAGGACCAGGGGGTTGGTTTGGATTATGTGTTTGGGTCCCATCCAAAGTCTGTGGTTCTTTATCTGGACGATGGGAGTCTGTAGTAGGAGCTGAAGTGCCTGAACCAGTTTCTTTGTAAAAGGTCAAGCTGACCCCGCTCACATCCTTTTATATGCCTAAAGACTTGAGCAAGTATGGACGTGTTGTCATAGAAAAACGAGCTAGTACTGTCTCTACAAGGAAGGGTAGCCAGATCTCACACATGTGGCTAGAAACATCATCCTGGAGGCAAGAGAACAGTAGGTCAGAGGCTGGCCTTTGTCTTGTCTACAGCTGGGAAGACACAGAGGCTTGACTTCCTCTCAGTGCTGAAACCAAACCTTTGGGGGATCTCCCTAGGGACCTAATGGAGGAGCAAGATCTGATGTAGCAGTGATGCTGTGAGCCCTTCATCTTGTGCCCTGGTTGTGTATATGTGCATAACCTCCAACATTTATCTGATGAAAATAGAGACATCCTATTCCATACTACTACTACTACTAATTAGTTATACCCTGCCCATCTGACCTGGTTGCTCCAGCCACTCTGGGCGGCTTCCAACATATATAAAAACATAATAAAACATTAAACTTTAAAAAAATACTTCCCTACACAGGGCTGTCTTCAGTTGTCTTCTAAAGGTTGTACAGTGGTACCTCTGGTTACATACGCTTCAGGTTACATACGCTTCAGGTTACAGACTCCGCTAACCCAGAAATAGTACCTCAGGTTAAGAACTTTGCTTCAGGATGAGAACAGAAAACATGTTCCGGCTGCACAGCAGCAGCAGGAGGCCCCATTAGCTAAAGCGGTGCTTTAGGTTAAGAACAGTTTCAGGTTGAGAACGGACCTCCAGAACATATTAAGTTCTTAACCCAAGGTACCACTGTACTGTATAGTTACTTATCTCCTTGGCTCGGGGGTCAGATAACTCCATACCCTCCCAGCATTTCTCTGATGTTTCTAGAAGGAAGAGAAGCCAGATCTCACACACGTGGCTAGACACCACATCATCTTAGAGGCAAGAGAACAGTAGGTCAGAGGCTAGCCTTTGTCAAGTATGCAGCTGAGAAGACACAGAGGTTTGACTTGCTCACGGTGGGATGAAACCAAACCTTTGGGGGATCTCTCTGGAAGTCTAATGGAGGAGCAAGTTCTGATGTAGTAGTGATGCTATGAGCTTTTCATCTTGTGCTCTGGTTGTGTGTGTGGGTAAATAAAACCATATACCAAAAAGACACCAGTCTTCAAAAATACTCATTCCAAGGAAACCAGACCAGAGGGAAGCACTGGCTGCCTTAAGTCTCTCACTAGCCTTAGATTGGGGTGAATGTAACGTATCTTCTGTCCAGGCAGGGGAGAGCTATCACCACTCTTCAAGAACACATTGCAGCCAGGAGAAAGCACTTGAGGTTGTGCAGCAGAGTCAGAGAAGGATGTGGAGGGCCACATTTGGTATTCAGAACTCAGGTTGCTCACCTCTGCCATAGGTGATAAGGAACTGCATACATGTGAAGGAAGCCCCCCTCTTTCACATACAGCATAAAAACACAACAGGCTTTCCGCCCCTCTTTAGCCAGTCCCCTCAGGTTAGTATAAAAAAGAAAAAATGCATTCTTGTAACTTTTGTAAGCTTGTTGACAAGGTTGAAATAATACATTCCCTAGCAGCATGATATGCTTATTTTATTGCATTTCTATTACATCCTTTCATTAATGAACTTAGGATATGTCATTATTTATTCCGGCACCCCTGTTGTTGTTGTTTTTAAAAAAATCTTCACAACAGCCCTGCAAAGTAGAATAGCCTGGAACAACTCCAGCACATAGCATCCTCAGGAAGTTGCCAGAGGTCCAGCACTCCAGCAAGGCTGTCTTAGGTCCCTCCACCCCACACTGTGCAAGCCACCATTTACATTTTCTAATCTGTTTCTGACATAGCATCACTATTGAGTAATGCAGGCAATTGCGGAGGCAGCTACACCCAGGCACTGCTTTCCCTGCCCGCTTCCACCAACCACTTTATTTATTTATTTGTTGAATTTATAGCCCACCTTTTCCTCCAAGGAGACTGAGGTCCCCACCCTCGTTGAATCCCTACCACGACCTTGCCGAGGTTGGTTAGGCTGAAAGGCAGCGGCTGGCCCAAGGCCACCCGGCGAGCTTCGTGGCCGAGTGGGGATTCGAACGCCTGTTCTGCAGGACCGCGTTCAAGCCAAGTGAAAGAATCGGCACTGCGCCTTTAAGAGGGAGCCGGCAACGTCGCCGCCCCCGCCTCCTCCCCGGCCCCTCGCGCTTGCGCAAGAAGGAAAAGCCCGATAGGTGGGAGGGGGAGAGAAATGTGACCTAGGCGGCCGGTACCTCGGGCAGTGCGCGAGAAGGCGTGCGCGCGCACTTGTAGCACGCAAGAGAGAGAGAGAGACCAAGAGGCGCTGAGGCCCTCAGGTGAGGTGAGGTGAGGTGAGGTGAAGGGGGGGGGGGCGGACGTAGATGTTCCTTACTCCTCCCTCCGTCATCATCATCATCACCACCTTCCTCCATGGGAAAGCGGGAGCGTCTGGAATCTGACTCTGAGGCGAAAATGAACGCGGGGGGTGTGTGTGATCGTGAAAGGCGTGGAAAGGAAGGGAAGGAAGGGAAGGAAGGGCGGGGCAGAAGCAGCGCTATTCAAGGCGGGGGGCAAGTGGGGTAGGTGAGGTCCCTGCACGAGGGGGAAGGGCTTCTTGTTGGCGCGCGCGCGCGCACACACACACACGCGTGTTCCCTTATTCTAGGTGACAGACGACCTTGCGGATCCGTGTTGGTCTGCCGCCCAAGCAACAGTGAGTCTATTGGCGCCTTAAAAAGTCTTAAGAGGTTTATTGTGGGCTGAGAGGTTGCTTCGTCCGATGCGTGAAGGATCAGGCGTGTATCGGGGCGGGGAACTCGAGGCCCTCTGAACCAGGCAGACAGTATGTACAGTATGTATGAATGTGGGTGAGTGAATGAATCAAGTATCTCGATTTTTTATCATTGAAAGGCGGGTCCTGTGGCACCTTAAAGAACCGCATATTTGTCAGTCAGAATCTACTTTGTAAAAGATGCTTGAAGAGTGTGTGGCGAGGAGGGTGTTTTTAAAAAAATATAGGTTCAGAGAAGTAAACATTGGGGCCCAAAGGCAAAGAAATGTAAGAGATATAGCCTGTAACATTTCTATACAAAGCTCAAATGTATGCAGCAGCCATTTATGACAGCAGTAAATGGCAATTGTGTGGGAGGATGTGTGAAAGGAAAGGGCAGATATAAAGTGTGGAGGAAGTGAAGTGGGATATATGTGGAGGACAGGCAGAGTGGAAAAGTTTTAATCATATTGTTCATGAATTCTCTGTTAAAGCATCACAGGCAATGTACAATAAAGGACTATGTAATTATTGGAGTTCAGAACCTTAAATGGTAGTAGCTGCTTTCCATGCTTGTCACAGGTTTTGAAGAGAAGCACTTTCCATTTTTTAAAAAAGTACAATACGTAAATAGGATGGGTTTGACTAGGCAGAAGCTGAAAGAACTGGCCATAAGAATAGGACTATAAGCCATGAGGGTCAGCTGCAGCGGAGTAAGCGTGTAAAAATTGTGAGGATATGGTAGGAATGGGAACAGTGTTGGAAACTGGCATATATAAGCTGGGCACCAAATGCCTCCTTAAACCAAGGTTACAGCCGCCAAAACAGAATGTCTAGTCTTATTTTTCAAATGATGGACTGACTGTGACTGATTATCAGTTAAATATCTGACTAGTTCAGATGATAACCTTGAGCTAGGTTAAGAACTTTGGGAACTTAAAAAAGAAAAGTCATTTTATCCAGGGACAGTCCACATATATATTGGCCTGTTCCTACCTCTTTTTCTTAATGGTGACCTGGACCATTCATAATGTATGAATGCTCTTCACAACTGTGAGCAGGGCTGTCGGGTGGGGTAAATGAAGACAGGCTACAACAATTAACTATAATGTTGTTGACTGCTCCTGCTCAGGCTGCACAGAAAAAGCGTTTTAGTTCCTGAAATTCATTATGATTGTGCAGATAAAATATAACTCAGAGAATTCTACAAGATGTAGTATTAGTGCGTGAAAACAGTCAAAATCCAGTGATCTCCAGGCCTCAACAAGCACTGCTTGCTTGCTGTATGTTCTGGATATGTTTGACTGTCTGCTTGTAGGGCTGTCATATAAATAACGTTCACAATGTTTAACAGCTTTCTTGCCAGGCGGGTTGGTAAGATTTGTGATAGGATTCATGATTGTCCAGTCTTGCTCATAATTGTGGAGCTCTATCTTGCATCTAATATATATGGTTATTACTTTTAATATAGCTCTTATTTATATAACCCCTCAAGGAAAATTGTTACCAATGTCTTATGCCCATAAAGATTTCAAATTGATGTAAGAGCCAAAGGTCACAGCACATGTATGGAAGGATATACCTTAAAGGCATATGAAGGCCATAAAATATATTATTCAGATGATAAAAATGAAGTGAGAATTTTGCATAGCATACTCTATTGCTACTTATATTGTCAATAAATATATTTTCAGTATTCACTTTTTTTCCTTTAAAGATAATATCAAGTGATATTAGAAAACCTGAAAATGTCCTTTTTCTTAACATTTAATAGCTTGATCATTTGGTAATTTCCAGTGCTGCTTCAGCTTGTGTGTTATATTTAAGCACCACCATTTCAGTGTTTTTTGTATTTGAAAGAGTGACTTACTAGGGTAGAGGTAACTTACTAGAAAGTTTCAAACTAGAAAAACACATACTTGGATTTCCTCTGAAGGATGCAATAGATATTTTAGTAAGACATAGTATATGTGAAGAATTAAAATATAAAGATGTAGACTTAAAATGAACAGCTTCAAACAAATTTGATGTTGAATAACCAGCCTTGAACTGCACTTGTATTAGTGTTGACTACAAATGGCCACAGATTTATACAGAATGTATAAATGGTTCCTTTTGCTTACACTTTATTTTATTCTGTTTTAGGAATTATGTATGAAACAGGATGCCAAGAAGCTTTGTTTTTATGCCTTAGTCTTGCCCTTGGGAACTGAATTGGAAAAAGAATACAAAATGAAAATGCTTCCTGGTGTTGGGGTATTTGGGACTGGGAGCTCAGCTCGGGTGCTAGTGCCTCTGCTGAGAGCTGAAGGCTTTTCCATCAAGGCACTATGGGGGAAGACTGAAGAAGAAGCAAAGCAACTAGCTGAGGAAATGAATATTTCCTTCTACACAAGTCGGACAGATGATGTCTTGCTGCACCAGGATGTGGATCTGGTTTGCATCAACATCCCTCCACCACTCACACGACAAATTGCTGTGAAAGCTTTAGGTACTGTGCTGTTGATTATCTGAAACAAGTTGTGGTTATTTAAAATTCATTCCCTCTTTAATAGATTCCCAGTTGTGTTCTCAGGCTGTTGCTGATTACTTAATATTATAAAACTGAATGCTTCATTTTGGCGCAGTATGTTTTACTGTTGTTAGTCACTCTGAGCGCGGCTTCAGCTGGGGAGGGCGGGATATAAATAAAATATTATTATTATTATTATTATTATTATTATATCATTGTCTCATGTTACATAAATTGGAGTGATACTCGACTTTCTGCCCTCTGTGATATTATTGTGCCTGTACAATTTTGGGAAGTATATTTCAACCCATAGATACTTGATTCAGTCTGACATGTGAAAAAATAATTGACATCAGGGTTTTGCTCTTCTCTTACCACTTTAGATTTTTTAATAAATCTCTTCCCCTCCCAATAAATTTGCATAGCAATATGTCACATACAGAACAGAAATATCTAGGGAAATAGAGGGAAGCAGGAGCTAGCCATTAAATTTAACCAGGCAGCCATAGCTAATATTACCACCCCTTCTTCCGCTTATCCCAAAAACATGTTTGTGTTTTGTTCTTTTGCATTAGCTGATGGAAGGAGTGAACTCTTTTTCTTACTGTAAGAAAATTTTTAGTATTTGCTAACTTGACTTTGCTATTGCATATTAAACTAGCAGCATTGTAAAGGCAATTACAGCTAGATGCTCATTGGAAGACTTTTTCTTTTTATAAGTATCAAGGTCTGTATGTTTCAGAAACATAGTAAACAGGCAGCAGAAAGGTAAAAGTATCCCTTGCCTAAGTTTATCATTCCTCAAGTACAGTTCACACAGGATGGCAGATCTCCAAAACAAAAAATGTTTTTCTGCAGATTAGAGAGGGAATCTTACTGTGGTTAAACTAAATATCCACATATCCACAGTCCCTCAAGGACTGAGTAAAATGCACCAACGTGTTTCTTCAGCTTCACCAGCCACTGGGTGTCTGCAAATACCTTACCTTGGTACTTAATCCTTGGTGGGGCAGAGCATCTCTCTAGAGCAGTGTTTTCCAACCTTGGGCCTCCAGCTGTTTTCGAACTACAATTCCCATCATCCCTGACCATTGGTCTTGCTAGCTGAGGATTATGGGAGTTGTAGTCCAAAAACAGCTGGAGGCCCAAGGTTGGGAAATGCTGCTCTAGAGCACTGATTGTCAACCTGGTGCCCACCATTTGTTTTGCACTGCAGCTCCTATCTTCTTCAAACCAGTATGGTTTTACTGGTTGGGACTGATGGGAGCTATAGTTTAAAATAGCTGGACATGGGCACCAGGTTGAAGAAACCTGATTGAATGCTTACTTTTGCAGAATATCTAGTGCCTCCCCAGCCTGATCCCCTTCAGCTGTTTTGGACCACAACTGCCAATTCACGGCAGCACTGGCTGGGGCTGAAGGGACTTGTAGTCCCAAAACAGCTAGAGAGATGGGGTTTCTGCATTAGATGGTTGCACACATGGCTGCTGGTCATGCTTCCTTTTTCTGTACTTTATGAACTGAACAACGATGACACTGTACAGACAGATAAGAATCCTCTGTTTGCTTGAGGCTGCCTAGCAAAATCTGAACTAAAATTTGTCTCCTTTATTCACAGGTATTGGAAAGAATGTCATCTGTGAGAAAGCTGCTACCTCTGTGGATGCTTTCAGAATGGTCACAGCTGCCAGATACTACCCCAAGCTCATGAGCATTGTAGGCAATGTCCTGCGTTTTCTACCAGCATTCATCAAGATGAAGCAGTTAATAGAAGAACACTATGTGGGCAATGTTCTGGTCTGTGACGTGCGAGTGTACTGGGGAAGCCTTCTCAGCCACAAGTACAACTGGATCTGTGATGAACTGATGGGTGGGGGTGGCCTGCACACAATGGGGACTTACATTATAGACCTCCTCACTCACTTGACAAGTCGAAAGGCAGAGAAGGTTCATGGGTTACTGAAAACCTTTGTGAAGCAGAACTCTGCCATCAATGGCATCCGCCATGTCACAAGTGATGATTTCTGCTTTTTCCAAATGCTGATGTCAGGAGGTATCTGTAGCACTGTGACTCTGAACTTCAACATGCCTGGGTCATTTGTTCATGAGGTCATGATTGTAGGGTCAGCTGGACGCCTTATAGCACGGGGGACAGATTTGTATGGCCAGAAGAACACTGCTCCCCAGGAGGAACTCCTGTTTGCAGACTCTTTGAATGTCCATGCAGGCCTTTCAGAAAAAGGATTCAAAGACATACCCCTTCTGTACCTCAAAGGGATGGTGTACCTGGTGCAAGCTCTGCGTCAGTCCTTCCAGGACCAGGAAGACCAGCGAACCTGGGATCCCAAGCCGGTTGCAATGGCGGCTTCTTTTGAAGATGGCCTCTATATGCAAAGTGTAGTAGATGCTATTAAAAAATCCAGCCGGTCTGGGGATTGGGAATCTGTGGAAGTAATGACTGAGGAGCCAGATGCCAATCAAAACCTCTGTGAGGCATTACAGAGAAATAACCTATAATAGAAATATTTGTAATGAGCAGAATATTGAATATGTGCAGAAAACTTTAACATGGATACATTTGTTTCATATTCAGGGGGGTGGGAAGAGGTATAATGGGGAATTATAATTGTGGGCAAAATCTCAAAGGAAATCCTTTTGGTTTTTAAACTCATTTAAGAGCATTTTAAATGTTGCAGATTTGTGTCACTGTTTTTTTTTAAAGCTAAACCTTTTGAACTTTGTATTGTTAGGAAAACTTGAATTGCCCTTTGCACTTAGAAGTAGCTAAAACGAAAAGGTGGGATTTCTACCATTGGGGACAAGTCTGTCTCCCTTCTGTGTACAGCTCATCTATTTTTGCAGTTTGAATGTAGCACTAGAGATGGTTGGTTGTTTAAGAACAGGAAGACAAGTTACTTTTTAGGATTCTTCTTGATGTGGTAAAAGTGAGGCAAATACAGAAGTACGGTCCTTAAAGAGAACAATTTGTAGTCTCTATAGCTCAGTATCAAACTAGGTGGTGGACATGTATTTTCCTGTATCCTCCCTGTTCACACAAAACCCCACCCCTGTTTTGTTGTAACAGTAAAAAAAAGTGTTCAGGAAAAGGCCACTGAACTCTCCCATGCCTTCCCTTCCTCCAATCATTTGTTCCAGCCATTTTGGTCTGTCCCTGGCTTTGATTCCAAAAGTGGGCTGGAAATGGAAAAAGTTGTTGGAGTAGTGGACTGAGAGGAAGAAAGTGTGCAAGGGGGGAGGATTGAGCATCCTCCTTCCTGCATTCCTTCTGTTATATTTTCATCCTACAGACTTCCTGCTTCCTGCAGGGTTGACACACGAATGACAACCACATCCATCTAGTCTGTGCCTCGGTACCAAATACTTCCAATTTAGTCTCTGCCTTTGAGACTAGCTGTTCTAGAAGTCAGTTGAGTGCTGTGTGGCATTCACCTGCTGTTTGCACGTGCTGGTGCTCCTTTCCCATAGCAGAGACTGAAGGCCTCTTGCACTTCTTTTCCTGCATTCTCTCTTGCCCTGCTCAGTGCTGCCAAATGCCGCCAATGATTGCTTGGTAGCACAGAAGCCAAATCTAAGTCAGTGATTGTTGTTTAATGAAGCAGGTATTCCATCTGTCAAGGGATATGAAGTTGATAAGAAAAGGAATATTCAGTTGCTGTTTTCAGCTGCATGCTGACAGGGGTAGTTGATTTAATCGAACACTGGTCAATGTTCCCTATCCCTTGTCCTGACTTGTTTCCTGTGGGAGCTGTGGTGCTTCTTGCGTAGCAGATCATAGTGCACAACTACCAGATCTCAGAGCTGCTCTTCACTAGGCTGACACTGAGAAGCAGTAGCTAATTTTTGTATAAATAATACTGTTTACTTGAATGTTTTTATTGTTTTCCTACTTCATTTTCCTACTAGGTTTTAATCCTGTACATTAATATAAAGCATTAATAAGCAACCTTTCTTGTGTTTTTGTAAATGGTAACATTATGGAAGAAAAACTAAAAATAGATAAAATCAAGAACTAGATCAGCTGTTTTTCTCTTCCCTGTGGAAAACACCCTATTTTTCTATTCTGAGCTTTTAAATTTATTTTTAACCAAAACAGCTGTATCCTTAATTCTAGTTGCAGATGTTGGTTTTATACAACTGGACTAACAAAAGACAGTGTGGACAGTGTTTTGTACTGGAAAAGTCCAAATTCTAGAGTAAGGGAACCTCCCAACTTTCTGTTTACAATATGTGGAATTTGAGAATTTAAATGCTTTGTCAAGACCTGTGAAGATAAGGAGGTCCACACTAGATAAGCCATTGGAAATGTTTGATTGGGTTTTCATGCAAACATGAAAAGATAGAAAAATAATTTAATGAAGGCTCTTTCTTTGATGTGAATTCTCTTTTTCTTTTAGTGGCAAAGAGCAGTATGATACTCACCACTTCCCATTTTGTAAGTCTTTCATTTTCTGGTTACTGTTATTGTTATTGGCGGGGGGAGGTTATGTGCTCTTCCTTTTCCTTCGATGGAATGCAAATATAGCCAGTTTAAAGAGGGGAAGAGGCACAAATGTCCAATTATTATTCTCTTTCACCACCTTCCAGCACAGATGAGATATATTGTTGCCAGACTGAGTATATTTGTAAAGGATAAAATGGAGGTAGGGTATACCGCCGTTGTTGTTTTAGAGGCAAGTGAGGAGACAATGCAAACACTTAACACCTTAATATAATCAACATTTGGGGAAATACAATTGGTAGCATAAAGGAGCATCTAGCAAAATGACTCTGTCTCAGGCCTTGTCTCTTGGAGGAGTAGCTCAGCATTCTGTTAGATGTTGCTACTTGTGCTGTGGCGACAGTGGTGGGACTAGGTGAGCCGCACAGACGCTGAGCATCTTATCAATGTCCACCTGAGTAGATTTGTCTACTTCAGCCTTTGCTGCAGCTCCCGAAGTGGCACTTGTCGGAATTCTCAGCTCTTTTCCTTTGTCTTCTGCAACAAAAAAATAGTCAATATGAACCATTGTCCTGTCCCATGAGCAGGTATGCAGAAGCAGTGTGATAGCGGACCTGTGGCTTTCTGAGCCCACAATAGAAGCTCTCGGAATTCTTTGACTAAAAATAAACAGGGAGTTCTGGACACCACATAAAATAGCAGGTTCATCTGTTTCATTGGTCTCTCACAGCTCCAAGTTCAGCTGAACCCATTGTTCTACTCCAACCCTTGTTGTGGTATTGGATTTGTGAGGAAGGAGCATATGAAGCTCCCTTTTTTGTTCCCAACCTGTTACCTTTGAGTGGAGTTATTCTTGCTTCCAATGGGCCTGTCTTATTCTCTAGAGCAGAATGCACTTCCAGCGGAGGCAGGTCACACTGTTTGTCTGAGGGGCTGTTCATCTCTGGGTTATCATAGTTGATATATTGGTATAAGGGACGCAGACGCTGTGACTTTCCTACAAATAACGACAGTGAATGCTGGAAGATAGATGGCTTCTAAGGCAAAGGCTGTTGGTGAGATGAGAATCACACACACACACACACACACACACACACACACACACACGTGTACATATGTTGTACCTAAACCTCAGCCCATTCCTTTCTTGCAGATGATGGTCTGTCCCTCTACACCTTGCTTCTATCTGCAGCTACCCCAGCAAACAGCCAGGCTTCTTGGTTCACATCATTGATGGAGCAGTAAGAACTTTTTCTGCCCCTTGAGAATGAACTGATGTCTTCCTAAATATAGCACAAGGACTTGGGAAGCAGAATTTTCATTCCCCCTATATTGCAATGTAGTTGAAGAAGTTATTAAGAGTTCAAGCAGACACACAGCTGCCTGTTTCTGGTGCCTGTTTGTGCACTTTTCAAGAAGTGCTGGGAATTAGGGATGGTTTGGGATCATGGGGCTAAAGTTAGAAGTAATATCCATCCTGCTTGGAGGCCAGCTCGGAAGGATTTCCTAGTGTTTTGAAAAGCTGCAGCTAACTGTCCCCTTTTTCTATGTAAGATACATATATAGCTTTTAAGGGACTGCTACTTCCTCAACTCTAAGCCCACCAACCTGTGCTGGTGATTGTCAGTATTAGCTGTGGGAAATATGATCGTTCTGTACAAGCCAGTCATTCTCACTGTAGATATCGCTAAGTAGAAACTAGTATCTCAGATGCATCCAATATCTCTCTTCCCCCACCAGGAATCATGCCTTGATACTGAAAAAACCTAGCTTGTCACTTCCCATTTCTTTGCACTCACTCTCTACACCTGTAGGCTCTGGAAGCAATGTGCCTGCTGTGCTAGCAGCTGGGACCACAGTGATATCCAGTGTGCTTTTCCTTTTCTTGGATTTCTTGGACTGTTTGGGCACAAGAGAACCTTCCATTTTGGGGCCCTCTGTCTCCTCCACCCTTGGAGGGAGCTTCTTGAAATCGGCATGTTGGAAAACAAGCATTTCAGAATCGGTTCTGTGGGGGAGAAACAAGATGCAAGAGGGCTGAGGAGTCAAAGGGAAAGGGATCTAGTTCCAGTGAGTGTCCCACAATCCAGTACAGGCCTTGGGCTCCATTTACTAGAACAGGAGTGGGAAACTTTGGCTCCACAGACCAACTTTGGCAGGTAGATGGGACAGTCATCATAATGTCAGGGAAAGGCCGAGAAGGATCAGAGGGGCATGGAAGGGATGGTGTGGTGGTGCTGTTGCCACCAGCATCTTCCCCCTGAATTAGCTGCCTCCCTTGCAATGCTAGGCTACATTATCAGTGCTAGGACTACCAGCAAAAATGTTCACTGGGCAGCATTCGGAACATAGATGGGAGGGAGGTATTTATGAAGCTGCCTTATAGTGGCCATTGCTCCATCTTGCCCAGTGCCAGGTATCCAGCATACTGCGCAGAGGTTTCTTTCAGTTCTGCTTTCTGACATCCTTAAACATTTAACTTTAGATGCATTTAATTTGAGATAAAAACTGAAGCCCAGTTCCTTCTCCCATGTGCTCTGCTTCTTTGCCGTGGGAAATATATGGAAATCCATCGTGACCTACTTCACCATTCTTGCTTTAAAGCCATAGGTTGCTAGCCAGGCCTGGAGCACAGGAACGGATTTCAGATGCCTGAGTTCTGTAAACAGCTCTTGGTGCCTCTGGATCTCTTCCTCAAACAACTTGGCATGGAGAAGAATCCCTTTCCCATCTTCATGCCACTGTGGGAAGATGCACATAGTCAGTAGAGAAGGCCAATGGCAAGAACAAAAGCCTGGTTTCATGATCCCTCCAGAGGTTTCTTGGAGACCACAAGAAGGGGAAGCTTCCAGCATTTCATATTAAGCAAGTCATCTGCCACCTTTGGGCACCACATCTCTTAAGTTCTATAAGAGAGGGAAGTGCTTTCAGAATAGATCATGGTTGTCATAGGGCAAAAGTGGGGAACTTGTGGCCCTCCAGATCAGGCCCAGCACCACCATTGGGCCAGTATGTACAGTGTCCAAGGGCCTCAGCCATGCCACTATTCACCATCCTCTTGCTGGGTCCACCTCGCCAAGGCCCCCTCTGGAAATCTGAACTAGTCCTGTTACAGATTATGTTGGGACTACAGTTCTGACCTCAGACCACTGGGCATGCTGGCTGGGGCTGCTGAGAGCCGGAGTCCACTAACATCTGGATGGTCAGGGTTGTTTCTTTAGCCCAGTATTATAGTAAACACAAAATAAAACACCCTGCACCCCTGAACAAAATTTGGAGAACTCTAGCAAGGTAGCATCACTGGAGAGAACAATGGGTTTCTGATTCTGAAAGGCACAACTTGCTTCTTGCAGTGGGAGAAAAATTTCAGTGGCACCATATCACAGAGAGAAAGGCTCCAGATCCTGATGAGGCTGTTAAAAAAACCTAAAAAATCCCAAACCCAGGCACATTTAACGTCTGCCATATTCTGATGTTGCGGGGATTGGCTGCCTAGAAAAGGCATATAATTTTTTTTAAAGGGCAAACCCAATGGAGGATGCTTTCAGCTTTATGGGGTGGCCCTGGAGTAATTCTTTTGGGGGAACAAAGGGCCACTATTGGGAGGGATCAAGAGCCATTATTGGGAGGGATCAATAATCATTTTCATGTGTTACCATCCTCGGTCAGACAGTTATGAGCAAGTGAGTTCTTGTCTCAGCACTGCTAGGTGGAGCACTGAATCCCTCTGAGCTATGGCCCCTTGCCTCAGCAGTGAGGCATCTGCTTTTCATGCAGAAGATCCCTGGTTCAATCCCTGCCATCTTCAGCTAGGACTGGGAATGTCCCAATAGAAACTCTGGGAAGCTGCTGCCAGTCCGTGTAGGCTCTGTTAAGCTAGATGGACCAATGACCCTGACTCTATAAAAGGCAGCTTCCTTTGTTCGTATGGAATATCTTTGTAGGGCTGCTGCTGCTTGTTAATTCCCTCAAGCCGTTCTTAACAGAGGCAGCATGGTGCTTCATGTGGGTAGCTGACAATCATCCACAGCCCTGAGAGGTAGGTTAGGCTAAGAGACTGTGATTGGCCCAAGGTCAGCCAGGGAGCTTTATGTCTTGAGTGGGAGGATGTGAACCCTTGTTTCCCAGGTCCAAGTCCAACATTAACCACCGCACTATACCTAACATGCTTCTCTCCAGACATTTCTGCAACATGATCTTCACTTTCCCCAGATTTACGAGCCTGTGGTATGTCCTCAGCGTCTGTAAACAGGATATCCTGTCCTATCTGCATTGCCTTCTTTTTCTCATAACTACAGCACTCATCCTTTACCTCCAGTGACTTGATGGTGGGGTTGTCCAGGGCTGCAGCCAGCTGGAACAGGAAATGAGGAGGCGCTGCCTTCCCACCTGTTTTCTTGTCATTGGGGATCCGTGCAGAACCAGCCATTGACTGCAATGGAAGAAAGATCAGAAATCACACATCTGACACAGGCCTCTGCTTATGTTCAGTTTAGATTTTGGATTCTACTGCTTTTAATATGTAGGGTTTTGTGTGTTTGTTTTTTTTAAAATACATTTTAATCATTTTCTAAAATCAGACTTTTGATTTTGTATTGTAAGCTGCCCTGGCGATCTGTCTGAAGGGTGCAATATAAATTTCTATAATGCTATCCTATTCTAACCTTTACAATGGGGTAGCAAACCTATGGCTCCCCAGATGTTGTTTGACTCCAACCTCCATCAGCCCCAGCTAGCTTGACCACTGGTCAGGGATGATGGGAGCTGTAGTTCAACATCTGGAGGACCACAGGTTCACTGCACCTGCTTTACCCCAACTCTTAAGACTGGATAATAAAATACACCTATCTATTCATACTGATTTTTTTTTATCAGAGTGTGGACTCTTCTGTAACCAAATGGAGTTAATTATGAAATTCTAAAGCTTATAGAAATAAACAAATGTGGGCAGGGGGTGAACTAAAGCGAGGGAGAGAATTGAATGGTTGTTATAAATACTGCAACTTTAACTGGCACCTGAGCAAGCTTTTCCCCCTCCCCCCTCCTCCCTCATCTTTCTTTCTTTGTGTGGCATGTCTTTTAGACTGTACAGGTGAGGGTAAAAACAGCCTTCTTGCTGTTGTTCTTGTAAACTACTCTGATAGCCTTTATAGTCAAACACTGGCGTAAAGGGTGCTGTAAACAAGTAAATGTTGTAAGCTGGAAGAGGGCATGCAGACTGGCTGGAACCTTGCACAGGAGCACTCTTGCAGCCCTGTTATTCCAGCTTTTTGGGGTGGTGAGGCTAACAAATTTCATCTTGCCTAAGGCCACCCAATGAGTAAATGGAAGAGGCAATAGTTTAACTGAATTACAGCTCTGTCTCTTTTCCTTCTGCCTTCCTCAGGTGCTCTCATTACTATTTTGCACTTGCATTCTGAGTGCAAGAAAGACAGGTAATGAGGATTTAAGACCTGCACCAATTTCTGTAGCACTGACTGAGTCTCAGAGAAGGATTGTTCAATAATTCTGGCATCCTATCATTCTAATAACATTTCCTGTAGCCTTTGATGTCAGCAGCACTCTGCAGTGGATGGCAGGCCTCTTGTTTTAGTCCTTGATATGCCACAAGGATAGGCAGTTTCTCCCTCATGCAGATCTGCCCTTAAAATTAACTAACAGATGCTCCTTCCTTCCTCCCTTAACTGAAGCACTCCCACAGGGAATTTTGTTCCATGCTAAGGATGTCAACAAGGTCACCGCTTTTTTCATCTCTTGGTTGCATCATGAGTCACAGAGGTCTGATGGAATCTTAAAGCCTGAAATCCTAAATCTGATCAAAATCTTAGCTTTAAAAGTGTTTTCCCCTCCTTTCTCGTTTCCTGTTGGCCCATAGCTCTGAGAAAGATATAAGCTAAGAATGGGATGTAGTCGGTGGATAGAAGAATCACTGTCATTTCTGCATATAAAAAGCTGATGGTTCCTGAGCACTGTTTCTTTTCTCTGTGGTCCATGAGACCATTTTTGTGAATGAAACATGTATACCACATCATATACCTTTTATAATATCCAAAGACCTTCTGTTCAAATCCCCCTCTACTAAAAACACCCTGGGGACTATCATTCAAATGGAGGACTTGAACTCGGTGAATCTGGGCAGTTTGCACACAATGGTAAAATAAGTATGTGGCCCCCACCAAGACTGTGGCACTCTTGTCTAGACAAGAGTGAGCTCTTATAGGGGACAGTCTGCTCTGTCTTGTGGTGACCAGTAGGCCCCTACAAGCATTGCTGTGCTTTCCCTTCATACCAGTTGCTAGGCTACACAAGGACTGTAGCATTCTGTTCATTCCATTGGTGGTTGGTTGGCTGGTAGGCTGGCTGGCAATGGTCATGTTTTGTGTACCCACTAGTGATGCTTGCTGTGCAAACCATCTTGCTTAATGGATATAAATATCTTCTGTTTTCCGAACAGCTTAATGGATATTAATTTGTCTCTTAGATATGGCATAGTGGCATAGCACATGAGCTACAAATGTCAGGAGACCAACAGAGAAACCAACTGGCTCCATCCATTGGCCAGTGAAGCTGCCATTGGTTTAGTGTTTGCTTTCCTCTCCCCTCCTCATTCCTTTTGCCTTACCTAACACATCTATAATTAGACTACGAGTCTGCAGGGAGGGACTATATTATTTTTAAAATAATGGTACAGCACCTAGAGGTGTTCATAAATAATAGGAAGAATAAGAAGATATAAGAAGATATTTGAAGATATTTGTCAGATGAAAGGCCTATCTACTCGACCAGCTTACAGTTTTCTGTAGTGGCCAACCAGATGTTTTCAGAAGCCAACAAGCAGAAGGTGAGTCCAATACCACTCTACTGCTCCCCAAGCAACTGGTGGGAAGCAAACTTCTCACTGGCATCTGGTTGGCCACTGTCACAGGATGCTGGGCCAGAGCTTTAAAAAAATTAACTGAGTTGTTGCCACCACCAAGAAAGCCCTTTCCTCAATACCTACCAACCGTATAACCCTGGAAAAAATATGATGGGATATGTGTGCGTAAAAGCTTAATAACAAACACTTCTTATTATTTTTCCAAGCTGCTTAAAGTTGAGCTTTTCATCATCATTATTATTAACTACCTTTCTAGCATCTTAAAAAGTAGAGACATCACCTTGCTAACAAAGGTCCGTATAGTAAAAGCTATGGTTTTCCCAGTAGTGATGTATGGAAGTGAGAGCTGGACCATATAGAAGGCTGATCGCCGAAGAATTGATGCTTTTGAATTATGGTGCTGGAGGAGACTCTTGAGAGTCCCATGGACTGCAAGAAGATCAAACCTATCCATTCTTAAGGAAATCAGCCCTGAGCGCTCACTGGAAGGACAGATTGTGAAGCTGAGGCTCCAATACTTTGGCCACCTCATGAGAAGAGAAGACTCCCTGGAAAAGACCCTGATGTTGGGAAAGATGGAGGGCACAAGGAGAAGGGGACGACAGAGGACGAGATGGTTGGATAGTGTCTTCGAAACTACCAGCATGAGTTTGACCAAACTGCGGGAGGCAGTGGAAGACAGAAGTGCCTGGTGTGCTCTGGTCCATGGGGTCACGAAGAGGACACGACTAAACAACAAACCTTTATAGCAGGAGTTGTCTGGAAGGTTCACAAATCAATAAAATACAGCATCAAGATACTATATAAAACAATGGAAACTAGCAAATTAATTAGTTGGTCCCTCTTATCAGCCCCTCCATTCTACTAAGTCTGGCTCACAGATCTGGGATAGCTTTTTATCTGAGGAGGAGCTCGGCGACATTCGGTAGCATCGAAATTCTCCTGTTGGCGAAGCAAGTATTTGCTCACCCGCGGTCGGTACTCCGAGAAACGATGCGGGCGCCGTTTTGCTCGCCAGAGATACGCAGCGCTCGCTCTCCCCAGCGCTATTTCGTGGAGGCTCGAGAACTACACTTCCCAGGAGCCTCTGCTCCTCGTCCAACCTGCGACAGGAAGCGCCTGTTGCTTAGAGACAGGAGGCGGGGAGTACAACTGCCAGGGATTTGACTCCCGCGCCGCTTCTTCGGAGAGAGCCGCCCAGTGCCGCTGGGCAGAGGGACCAGAAATGTGAGTGAGGGGCTGCGAAAGGGGCGGAGCAGCATGTGGGCTTTCCTATCTGCTTAGCCGCTCTGAGGAAACAGGGTGCCGGACTAAGGGGGCCTTCGGTCTGATTGGGCAGCGCTCGCTGTGAAAAGGCGGGGGGGGGGGCTGTGAAAACATGCGCGTGGCATGGAAAGTGCACGGGGAGAAGTTGCTTTCCCTTCCCCTCGCAGTGCCAGCGACAGGGGTCCTCCGAGGAAGCCGAGCGGAGGGAGATTCGAGACAAGACAAAAGGAAGAACTAATGGGCGCAGCGCATAATTCAACTTTCAGGGATCAGGCCAAATGCCCATCTTAGTTCGGTATCCTGTTCTCACAGTGGCCACGGGAAGCTCAGCAGGCAGGACCTGAGCCCAGCAGCGCCCTTCCCACCTGTGGCTCCCAGCGACTGGCCTTCAGAAGCACCTGGAAGAAGAGCTATGGCCTTTGTGGCTAGGAGTCATTGATAGCCTTAACCCTCATTTCCCTAATCTCTGTTAAAGATGTGGAATTTGCTGTCGGGAGAGGCGGTGGCCACCAGCTTAGACAGCTTCAAAAGGTTATTAGTGCCTCCTCCCATTGACAACTTTATATTATTTCTGCCATCAGAAGCAGCATGCTTCTTTGAATACCAGATGCTGAGGAGAGTGAGCTCGTTGCACTCATGTCCTGCTTGTGGGCTTCTCCTGGGAATCTGATTTACCACTGTGGAAACAGAATTATGGGCTTGGTGGTCCTTTGGTCCGATCTACCAGAGTTGCTCTTAAAGAGGAAAGGAGGGTAGATCATTTAAAACATCTCCACCTTTCATCAAGAGGATTCCAAGGTGGCATACAAACGTGTCAGCAAAACTACCCATAGTGTCCTAATGAGCATCATGGCTTGGTGAAGATTTGAATCTGTCTCCCATCCCAGCCCCCAAGTCTTAGGCCCCATCTGCACTATACATTTAAAGCAGTATCATACCATTTTAAACAGCCATGGCTTTCCCACAAAGAAAGCTGGGAAGTATAGTCTGTAAAAGAGTTGTTGGAAGACCCCTGTACCCCTCACAGAGCTGTAGTTCTCTGGGAAGACTGACTGAATTGTAGCTCTGTGCATGGAATAGGGGGTCTCCTAGTAACTCTCAGCACTCTTATCAAACTACAGTTCCCAGGATTTGTTTTGGGAAGCCATGACTATTTAAAGTGGTATGATACTGCTTTAAATATATAGTGCAGATGGGGCCCTAGTTTGACATTCTAATTGCTACATCCGTGGTAGCTCTTATTTAAATTATGCCTTAACTGTGAAGGGAAGGGTGCATTCTTGCTTTATGAATTTAACCTGGGTTTGATGACCCATGGGCACTGTATTTTGAAAAAGGATTGAAGTCCACCCATCCCTGAATTAAAGGCTCATATGAGATGATGCTTGTGAAGGGAGTGTGTTATATTTGGGAAGAAATTGAATAGACTAGCTTTATGTGCTCTTTAGCAACCTCAGTCTTTTATTCCCACCTGATAGGCACCCAGGATCAATTCTTGCAACCATTTCGGTTGTGACTGGTTGCTTTCCTTTTCTTATCTGTATTGATCTGTTCTTGTGGCAAATGGTCTGCCTGAACCATTGGAAACTGCTCTTTTCATTAATGGCTGTACGGTTTCCAATATGAGTTCAGGACTGGCATACAAAGCTGCAGTTTGTCTTTGTGGCAAAAGATTCAGGCAGCCTTTTTCCTGTCACGTGTGCCCTAATGCAGGTAGCATGTGTGAATCAGTCTGGATATTATGTAATTTGGGACTTGGGGACGAACAGATCATGAGTTCTTCTGCCTAAGTCATACCAAAATGGGCTTTTGTCATGTTGCAATTGCCTTTCCAGCTACTTCCCAGGCTTGAACCAATTGCCCCTTAATTGCACTGCAATAATCAATCCTAAAGTCCTCCTTTCCCTCAGTTTTAGGCTGCTGCAGTTTCCCTGATGTAGGGCAAAGGAGCCTTTCCAGCAGCTTGTTTGTACTTGGCTCCTAACAGCCGTTTGCCCTCCAAGCCAACAGAATAAACACATTCTCTGTGCTGTGCCTGGAATGAAGCCAATAGTGTCCTGCTAAGTGCTCTCTCGCCCCCCCCCCTTTTAACGGAGGTGTGAGGAAGGCATTTGGCTTCCTATATATGAAGCAAGCTTGGCTACGGTTGTTGTTTAGCTTCAGCCATCCCTTCTCTACAAAAACAGCAACAGTCTGCTTGAGTGTATCTTACCTAGGTGCTGAGGTAGGATAGTCAACGTGTAAAATGTGCTCTGGGAGCATCTTGAGGTGAGCGTTGGGAAGGTGATGGGAGGCAGATGGCTGCTCGAGAGGTTTTTTCCCCCCTTACCACCTTTTTGCTCGCTTGACTGCGCTGACAGCTTTGTGATGTCTGGCACTGTGCTTCAGCCGTGATGGTTGCACCTGTTTTGAGTGGGCAGAATTCCAGGGTTCTGTGTGTAGCTTTGGGGTGTGATGGAGGTGTCACTGCCTGTTTGGAGGTGCATAGGAAACATTTTGGAGGTGAGATCCATGGTACGAAGATAAAGCCAGATGTTTCTCTTGCTAGCTGGCACTGAAACAGAGGCTCCTCTTAATGGTGATAACCCAGAGACTTGGGTTCTGTACAGCTCCCAGGAGCTTGGCCTTTACCAGAAACACTTGGCAGTGCTGAGGCCTATTTTACTGTTGCTTTTCAAAGATATTTGCACGTGTTGTATAAGCAAGTATATCTGTGTCTGAAAACATGTAAAAACAAACAAACAATGCAACTGGTAATTCAACACCAAGCTTTTAACATTGTTGAGAAAACAAACTGATTTGTCCGTTAGTATTGCTGTGTTGCCTCTTTGAATGCTTCAGGCTAAAACCAGACTGTAACTGATGTATCGTAGTGATAGCTGAGTACTTCTATCCAGTAAAATAAAAGAGACGTGAATTAAAAACAGGAAAATGTGGCAGAATAAAAATAAAAGGCAAGCTAAAAATAACTCCACAATAACAATCAAATAGCACCAATTAAACTTTAAGAATACAAAATTTAAAACTCCAGGATATACTGGGTAGTTTTATTCTTTTTATATCTCAAAATACATGAACATTATATGCTCAGGTATTTTGAGGGGGAAAAGAATAATTAAAAAACAAAAACAAAACTGCAGCAGAAAACCTTTCGGCACCACTACCGAAAAAGCCCTGTCTCCCCTAATCTCAAAGGTGGCTGGCACAAAGATCAAGCCCTCCAAAGTTGATGACAGAAGCCAGGCCGATTCATAAGGAGCCACCTCCTTGAGGAGGACATTCACCTGGCTCCTGCATTATTTTTACAGTGTTGAATTAAAACATTTTTGTTCACTCAAGCATTTTAATAGTTTGTATTTTAAGTACTGGGAGGATGCTGTATTTGTGAACCCTGGTAATGAAAGCTTTTACTCCACTCTTTTAATTGCTATTTAATTCTGTTTATTGTTTTTGTTTATATACCATAGGCTGAAATCTTATACACCCTTGGATTAAGTATGGCTTACCTGCCTTACTTCTGAGTAGACTTGTATAGGGTTGTACTGTATTGTTTTAGTCTGCATTGTAAACTCTTTTGGAATCATTATTATGAGAGATTGCAAATGGTGATCATAAGTAGTTGCTACTGAAAGTCTTAACCTCTGTAAATTTGTCTTTTAAAGCCGTCCAACTTGGTGGCCACCACTATATCTTGTGGTAGCGAATTCTATGGCTTAACCATGTCTGTGCTGGGACTACTAGAAGAACTTCCTTCTGAAGTTACACCCAGAAAAAATATACTTATCATACCGGGATTCATTATCAATCTAGACATCATATTCAGAACCAATTGTGCATCCTGCTTTTTATAGGCACTTCCATGTATACTCCCATGCCCTTCTGCCAGCAGGTGAAGACTTTCTTATTCCAACAGCCTTTGGGGAACTGACTGATTTTAAGGAAAGGACTGGGGCTGTGATGTATTCTGTTATAATTGTCTGTATATTTTAATAGATCATATATATAGTTAGTTAGCTTTAATTCTATATTAATGTTTCATTGTTTTTTAAATTCTACCTCTCGCCTCATGTTTTTAGCTGTTTCTAATTTATCTGTAAGCAGCTGTGTTTATCCCTCGGGAAAAGGCAGGATAGAAATAAATATAATACAAATGTGTGCTTTATTGCAGTAGTTAACATGTATGACATGATAATAGTAGCAATGTTTCTATGACTAGCATGATGTGGGTGATGTGAAATAAAACCAACACTGAGGGTATAAGTTCCTTGCAGCAGCTTCCCTACAGTTTCCTGTTCTTCCAGATAAGTTGGCCATGCTTTGCCAGTGACTTTGAAGGAGGAAGAACTAAGGAAAGTGAGACCTTGCAGTTCTTGATTCCTGGTCTGGAGCTGAGGCTGAGATGTCAGAGGGGCCCTCCAGGATTACGGGGCCCATTCCCCCTGATCCCTCCCTTTGTCCTGATTACTACAGGCGTCCCCTATCAGGTGAGTGTGCTGTGTGATCCTGGGGTATCCTGGTAATCTCAGTGCATAATCAGTTTTCCTTTTCACCTCTGGAAAAGAGAAGGATCCATATTTTTCTCTATAATGGGTAGAATCCTCTAAGTACTCACTAGCCCTTGCTGACGGCAGGGGTGGGAAACCAGTGGTTCTTCAGCTTGTTGGACTGCAACTCCCATTACCCCTGGCCATTGGCTGTGCTGGTTGGAGCTGATGGGAGCTTAATGGCATCAGGTTCTGCACCCCTAATAAAGGATCTTTAAGAGAACAGTAATCAAGCAGCTGCTTGATACTGGAGGTTGAGCTGGAGTAGACTGGTGAGGACACTGGTCAGGAATAATTTGGTCTAGAAAAAGTGCTAATTTAGGGTGACAGAATGTGTAAATTCTCATTCTGTTGGGAAAAAGAAGTTTCCTATGGCCCTATTTTCCTAAGTCAGATCATTTGTCCTTATACCCCAGTATTGTCTATTCTGACCTGCAGCAGCTCTTCAGGGTCCTGCGCCCAGGGTCTTTCCCATCGCTTCCTTTTAACTGGAAGTCTTCAGAGATTTGACCTGACTTCTGCATTAACTTTATCTCTGAGCTGCCGTCTTTCTTGACTCTCTTTCTCCATCTTTAGCACGAGGGAGACTGGAAGGGAACTCTCTGAAGCTGGATCTGCTCCCTGGTCCCATTCCTCCAGAATGCAGCCTCTACCCTGAATGCTACAGTGCCCGCCTTGCTCACCCCCCTCCGCGGATTAAGCCAAATGCCAGGGACATTCTAGAGATGGGAAAGAAGGGCACAGTGGGAGCTCTCCTGCAGCTGGATGGGATCTCCTTCTTCCAGGAGGTGACACCTAAGCGTAAGTGTGGTCGCAACATAGGGACAGATGCCAGCCTGCTGTTGACAGCATTAGGGGTGGTGTAGCAGTTAAGAGTATTTGACTGGGACTCAGAAGACCCCGATTCAGATCTATACTCAGCCATGAAGCTCACTGGGTGAACTTCAGGCCAGCCACTGTTTTTCAGCCTACCCATCTTAACAGTGGTTACAGTGGGTTTCTTCACCTACAGCAGTGATAGGCCATGTGGCTATCTCCCATCATGCCTGATGGGATGATGGAGGCTAGGACTGATGGGAGTTGTAGTCAACAACATTTGGAGGGCAACACTTTGGCTACCTCTGACCTGTGGTGTAATCCTGGCTGTACAACCTCTGTAAGACGGAGAGAAATATGAGTTCTTGTCTCTCTCCACATGTTACAGGTGAGCTGTCTATTTATTTATTTTTTTACAAGGAGAACATAAGGAAGTTTAAGGGAGAGAGGCTTTTGTGCCTGTAGCTCAAGGATTGTAGGGCAATGTTTTCTTTCTCTTGCCAATGCAGGCAAAGATCACAAGGACTATGAGAAGGAAAATCTGAGGCGCATGCGAGAGATTCAGCGGAAATGCAGAGAGAAGGAGCAGGCTCGGGAGCTCAGCCAACCAAAGCCTGTGAAGGCCCTGTGGAAGTCTCAGAAGTATGAGAGTGTAGAGTCTAAAGTCAAAGCAAAACTGCAGGTATTTCTAATACTGCTTATTGGCAATACATTTTACGTGCTGTCTCTCTTTCTGTCTGCCGAGAGGAAAGTGATGTAGGGAGTGAACAAAGAAGAAACAGACGGGATTATGCTGATAGCACTCTCTCAAAATTCCAAATGTGCCCACAGATCTGAGAATATTGGCAACCCCTGTCTGATGTCCCAGTTTAAAACAACGTAGGTGGTGGTCATCAGGAACAGGTGCAATAGACTATGCTGAAGGTTGATCAGTGATGTTCTCTGGGTTCTTCAGTCTACACCCGTCTGTGACTGTGCAATAATTCTTCCTCCTGTTTTCCTCTTTCCTAGGAGAGTCCTAGTCCTCCGAATCCAGAGCATCAGAGATACTTGAGAGCCTATTCGCGCTGCGGTGCAGGAATTCGTCCATGCAGGTCACCGTCTCCAAACCCTGCCCAGTCCGGAGCAACAGCAGATGCAGCAGCTGCAAAATCACAGAATGGGAGTGTCAAGGTGGGGGGCGGGGAGATGCCCACCAGTGCTGATGCAATCTGCTTTATACTTCCGTTTCCTCATGAGTGGTTAGTGCTTTAGCCAACCTCCTCCCAACCTCTCCATTCCAGGGTTGCCGTAAATGATGGAGCTCTGTGGTGTCCCAAGGCAGAGGGAGGGACACTTTTTGCAGTTGTGCATGACTGCCAGCACTTCCAAAGCTCTCTTGGAATGTTTTTTACTTCTCTGTGACCCCCAAATTATTTTGTTTCTTTGATCTGATGGGGGGAATATTCCCTCCCCCTGCCACAAAGACGTGATCCGTGCTTTCAAAGTTGGCTAGGGGCTAGGAGAAATTAAGCCAAACCTGTCCCTAGTCTGTAGAAAAGCAATGTTTCCTGACACCCGAAGCTCTTTGCCTTCCAGCTCTTTGACCTTCTCATTACAGAACCAGGAGGAGAGTCAAGGGGTGGACTTTGTCAGCCACAACGCCCGGAACGCCAAACGGGCTCAGCTGCGGCGCTCACGCTCCTTGCAGTCGCTGACCGAAGTGCTGGAGCAGAAACGCAAGGATCAGGAAGAGTACAATGCTAAGCAGAAAGGCCATGTCCCCCACTAGTAGGTATCCAACTCACCCCTGACCCATCTGGCTTCAGTATTTATTTGTTCAAAATACTGCTATCCATGATTTTCTGTGTTACAACAGGCCTCCAAGGCTACTTGCAAGAAAATAAAATTAATACCCAATAAATATAAGGTTGAAAAAGAAAAGTAAAGAAATCAATGTTCAACCTTTCTACAAGACTGCAAAGTGGTGGTCACAGGTTTGAATAACCCTTCCCTTCCCATAGAAAACTAGCATGTCAAGGAGAAAGCTAAGTGAGAGCCGTTCTCCCTGACATAGTAGCCTTACATATGCGGTGAGTTCATTTTTAAATGGAGAGTTTTCAGTCATGTGATCCTCCACCTGCAGTCTGAAATGGCAGGAACAGATTTACCATCTCAGACACAGCAGTCTGTCTGGAATAAGCACCAGAAGTAAGTTTGGGAGCATTCTGCCCATGTGCAGGACTGCCATATGAGCAATGATGGCATCTCATATCAGCTGCTGAATTTAGTTTTCCCAGAATCTCTGCTTTATTTTTTCGAGGCCCTTTTGTTTGTGATTTGAAATAAATAAAACAGTATTCTGAATTGGAGATTCTGCCATTCTGGATGGATAAAATGGGTGGGGTCACAACTCTTCATAAAGATATAGAAGGGAATACTTACTTCTGGGTGCAGCTCTGTTCTTGGATTCCCAGGTGGTGTCTGCACCACAGAATGCTTTTCTTGGCTTGGACTGATTGGCCAGCTTTACTCACTGCTGAAAATGACCTGGCTATCCTCATTCATGCCTTGATAACTTTGGGATTAGACTACAGCAATGTGCTCTTTGTGGGGCTGCCCTTGAAGACAATTCAAAAACTTCCGGTGATTTGGAATATCTCCACCCAGTTGGTGAGAGGCACAAGTCAGGGTGGCCATGTTATGCCTGTGTTTGAAACCCCTCCTCCTGGAGTTTCATTTCTGAGGGGCTGGATTGATGGCCCTGACTGCAGTAAACACCACATCTGTTCCCGCCTCCTGTCCCAACTTCTCTTCTAGCCGTTTCTTTACCACTTAATTGGTTTGTAGGACCCCGAGGGGAGAGACGTGAGGCTAGGCCATGCTCTGTTCCTTGAAGTCTGAGGTGCTGTTTCCTCCTAGCTTTCTCTGCCATTCTTTCCTTACCTTAACCACTATGCTCTTTCTGCTGTGATTTAGCCTGATTGAGAGGAAGGACCACTGGCGCAAAGAGGCAGAGGAGCGCCAGCGCAACATGCCTGACCCCTCCATGCCACCTGGCCACACCATGATGCCAGAGAGCCAGCGGTTGGAGACGCTCAACAACCTCAAACAAAGTAAGGAGGGCGGAACACAAGACGTGTGAAGCTGCTTCATGCCGGGTTGGCCCAGGACGGTCTAGTTCAGGGATGTGGAACCTGCCACTCTCTAGATGTTTTTGGACTCTGGCTCCCACCACCCCCAGCCAGGGTGGCCAATGGGCAGCGATGATGGGAGGTTGAATCCAACAACATCTGGAGGGCCACATGGCCCCCCACACCTGGCAGAGGCTCTATGGAACATAGGAAGATGTCTTCTACCAAGTCAGGTTGTTGTCCATCTGTATATCTAGCTCAGTCTTGTCTGCACTGACTGAATTGAGCAGGCATCCTTAACTGTAAGCTGGTCACTCTTCCTCTTCTCTGTTAGGCCAAGAGCGCTTCCTGAAAGACCTCCTGCTGCTTCCAGTGCGAACTGACACCCTCAGCGTCCAGAACAGACGTGCCACCCTGGAGAATAAGCTGTCGCAGATCGAGGAGGCACTCAAAATATTCTCTCGACCCAAAGTCTTTATCAAGCTGGACTCCTAGGCAGAGGCAAGATACGCCTTTCCCAGCCTTCTCTTCTGGACTGCAATGGAGAGGAAAGGTCTCTTTTTCCTTCCTTGCTCTTTCACTCAGCCAGAAATCCTCTTCTCCCTCTCAGCCATCCTTGCTGGCTGACTCAGTGATGCAAGCTTCTGCCCCACACTTGTGTGGCTGACCACTCTCTGGTGCTTGCTCTTGGCACCCAGCCTTTCAGGAGCTGGGATGCAACAGAGGTCTGCATCATACCTGTCTGCTTGTCTTGCTTCACACCAAGGGCGGGGAGAATCTGTGGCCTACCAAAAGTTGCTGAACTTTTATTTCCATCTGCCCCAGGCAGCCCGGCCAGTGTTCAAGGGTGATGAAAGTTGTAGTCCAAACTGCATCTGGAAGGCCACAGGTTCTCCTTCCTTGTTCTTCATGCAAAAGTAGTAGGTTGCCAAAAAGGAGATGGGATGGTTGGTGGTGGAGGAGGGGAGAGAGAGGTGCTTGGTCTCAGAGGAATCTGGCCGTTGTGAAATCTGTAAATCCTCTGTAGCCACAGCTTGAATTTGCAGAGCTGCCCCTCTGGGAAGAGTGCATTGAGGAGCTCTAACAGTACAGCAGGACTGAGCAGGCACCCTGGGCGTTGTTCTGCTTTTTTGCAAGACGGTTCAGGTACACACATTGGCTGGACAAGCGGCCAGTGCTCAGAGGGATAGGTGTTCAATTTTAACTTAAATAGTTGGGTAGGTTTTTAAATAAATAAATAAACAAACAAACTTTTGAAAGCACTTGTCACAGAACAGAGGTGGAAACGGTGCCTTCACAAGCACTCTGGAAGATTCTTTAAATGGCTGAGGGATTATTTTTAATTTACAGATATATAGTGAATGCATCCTCCATTTGGATGATACATCGTACAAACACAGCAAGTCTCTGCTCCTCAGAACTGCAGGCAAGGATGAATCATAGGAGCACCTGCTTTGCATACACAGAAGGCCCCTCTGGCACCTCCACCTAAATGGGTCAGGAGGGGATGAGAGAGACCCTATGCTGAGAGTGTCAGAGAAAGGGATTGTGCATTAGTTGGACGTAGAGTCTTACCTAACAGAAGCCTGTATAAGGATCCATAGTTGGATAAGAAGTTCAGTATTAGGAAGGATGCTAAGTAGGCCCAGCAAGCTTCAAACAGTCATAGGCTCATGTGAAGTGGAATTCAAGTGCCTGTTTCTTTTTTTAATATAATTAATCTGAAAAGCTGCACTTGATTCTGCGTCATGGAAAAGCTGCTGCTGCCTTTTACACTGACACAAAGCTAAGGTAGAGGAGATGGGGCTGCTGCTTATGTTTTGCTGCCTGAAAAACTCCCCTTTCAGGCTTGTCCTTCATTTCTAAAGGACCCTGGAGCCAAGTGGCACTGAAGTCATAGGAAGGGCAAAGATAATCCATATCTTTTAAGAGCTGGCAGGATTGAGCAGCATGACAGGGTTGGAAAGGGTTAATAAGGTTAACAGGCAATCTAGTTCCGCCACCCCAGAACAACAACCCAAACCAAACCCTGGATAGGGTTGCAGTGAAGGGTGATGGACAGCAGTAGCAGGATTAATTGCCTCCCCGTGGGGTAGTCGGAGTACGTAAAACATTTCCTCCCCTCTGGAAATGACAGACAAGAGTTATTTTGGCTGTGCAAACTCTCCTAGCCAGTTTTTTTTGGGGGGGGGGGTAATGGTGCAAAGCCCTGACAGCTCTGTACTGTCTTCAGGTGTTCTCCTTTCCATGCAAAAATTGTAGTTTCAGGCACCTAGAAGAGTTACCTCCACCGACAAAGCAGAGAAAAGCTTGGTTAGTTTTCTGTGGACCTTGTGCTTGTTAGGGCACCAGTAACAGGTTATGTTATGTGGGAAAGCAGGCATGCTGTGGCCCTGATACAGGACTGCAGGTTGACCAGTTGACCATCTGTTAACTCAGTCACTAGCCTTGAGAAGAGGTGGATTTGGATGGGAGGCTCACAGTGCATGGAGATTCGCAATTTAACCCTTCTGTATCTGCAGACCTGACACAAAAACAGATTCCTTACATAGCAATCGGGCTTGGAAACAATCTTCAAATTGATTTAAGATATCAATGCATCCAGTGGGTGCTGCATCACAGAATAACCCTTTCCATCCCAATTTCAACCCCTGCCTGCTTGGCAACAGCTTCCAAGGGGAGTGAATGGTGGGTCACAGACCCTCTTTTAGAGTTCTTAAATCCCAGAGGCTTTCATGTGGCTGGCTGGTTGTGAACATGGCCTGCAGTGACTACCTACAGGTGAATTACTACACCGTGTTTAAGGCCAACAGTTAAATATAAGCCCAGTGGGAACGAAGAGATGCCTTGAACCCTGTACCTGGCCACTACTGTCCTCTGGTGGTGGACCCCAGTAATTGTACAAGATAATGATTCACAGCAAATCAAGGTCCTAGGTACCGAAATGTCTCTCCTGAGGTGGAAGCAGCTGCTGTTGGCTAGTTTACCATGATTTAAGATCCCCTACTACAGACTATGAGCATCTTAGCTGGTCAGACTTAAAATGAACAAAACAAGAGAAGACTACCTTCCTTCAATTTAGAATGGTAAATTAAACATCTCCCTAAAAACCATTTCAGTGCAAATGATCCTGACCTGGTAGAAATGCAGCTGGGATGAATGGGTGATTTGTTAGAGATGCTTCTATTTCCTTTCGTCAGTTGCTTTTTGCAGGAGAAAAATGAAAGCGATGTGGAAGGATATTATGCTTGAAACCTTTTCTTTTTCATTAATGGAGAGGCAGGTGCAAAGGGCTCTGGCAAGAGATACAGCAAGAAGCTGGACACCTTGCAAGGCCAGATCATCAGTATACTGAGGGCCACAGAGCTCAGTGCGTTGGCACATGTCTTAATTCCAGATGATGCTCCCCTCCCACTGACGGACATATACAGTCACTGCTATCAGCAGGTATCTAAAACATCCTGGGAGAATTCAAATTAGCATATAATATTTGCATAAGCCACATCATCATGCAGATTTCTTTGTGTTCACTATCTTGAAGGTTGAAATAAGCACTTAACACCATTTTGCTTTGCCAGTGTATAGAATTCTTGCACACAATAGGAATGAGCAAGGGGCCAGCTAGGCATACAGCCTGCCAAGAGATGGGCTAGTCCAAAGCTCTCCAACCTTTCAGGCCTAAGACCTGCTTTTGAATCTGCATGTGTTAGAAACATGTTCAGCTATCTTCTCCCTTTTATCTTTCCAACTAGTTAGAAGGGTGAAAACATTTCTCCCCAGCTTTCTGCTTATATTTTAATTAAGGAATGGCCGTATCTCAGTGGGAGAGCATCTGCTTTCCATGCAGGGGGTCCCTAGTTCAGTCACCAGCATCTCCCAGTAGGGCTTAGAGAGAACCCTGCCTGAAACCCTGGAGGAGCCACTGCCAGTCACTGTAGACAATAGATGGACCAGTGGTCCGACTAAGTCTAAGGCAGCTTCCTATGTGTTTTATTTAAAAACAAAAACAAAACCCTTAACAGAAAGTAGCAGCTATGCTTCAGGTGCAACTCAGTTTCAGATCCTGATCCAGCAGTTGATCTAGCCAGTCAGCTAAACATCTATCCACCCAAGTCAGACAACAAAAAGCCAAGTTGCCTCAGTCACATTTCCCTTGCTGCCCTACCAGTCCCAATGGGTCCCAACATCCTATTGAGCAGAATAATGCATCTTGCATGTTTGGGACCACCCTGCTCAATTTCCCAGCACAGGCACCAGAGCTTCCTCATCGTGCTTGACCAGCACACTTCTAAAAATCATGTGAATGCACATTTCTTTAAAAAAAAAAGTTTTAATAGTTTGTTGCAATATATTAATCTGTGATGCATGTTATCGTAAAAACAAATAACTAAAAACAAACACTTCATGAGAGCTGACAGTTGGTGGATGGGAGAACCAGAGACTGTGAGAGAGGCAAGAGCATCCCTGCCTTTTTCCTTCTACCTGTCCAGAATGAAGACAGGAGCTGAAGAGAGGGAATGGAGAAGGTAGTAGAACTCCCATTGCTTTGGTTCAATGGGGAGCAAGAAAGAACCTCCTGGGTGGCTAAGGACTGGGAGGAAAGTGGCTTGGCCCCAAGTGCTCCAAACCCCAGCTGCCACCTTTGCTCCAGCAGCTGCGGAGAGAGTGCCACTGGGTCTGCAGGCCATGAGCAAGAGAGAGTCTATGGTGGCAGGTCTGGGCAGTGTCTTGGGTTCGACATGGGGCCCCCAGTTCCAGCTCCATTGGCCAGGAAGAAGGTACTGCCAAACTGACCGTGGAAATGCTGAAATTCAGAAGATAAGGGAGGGGCACTGCCTGGGGCTATAGCGTGATGACCGTGCCATCCTCCCGGAGGCTGCCTGCTCGGCTGCCCCGGATTGGGCTGCCGCTGCCGCTGTGACTGTTCAGGGAGGGCAGCGAACCCTGGGAGCTGTAGAGGGACAGGCTGTGCTGCAAGCTCTCCAGGAGGCCGCCATTGGGGCAGCTGGCAGGCAGATCACTCTCAATCACCAGGTCACCCTCTTCGTCACTCTCGCCCTCTGCTGTGCTGCAGTTGCTCAGGTACTGGGAGGCCGGGCTAGGTGTCTGCTGGCTGGGGGTGCTGTCCGTGGACACGCCAGAGCTGCCCGAGGCCTTGCTGCTGCGGATCACATTGTTGCGCTGGTTGGCCGGCTTGACGGTGATGATGAGGTTGTGGCTGTTGGCCACCATCATGTCCGTGACCTGGTCCAGCGACTTGCCTGCCACATCGATGCCGTTGACTTCCAGGATCTCGTCATTCACGGCCAGCAGCCCCGTGCTTTCCGCCAGGCCCCCCTTGACCAAGCGGGAGATGAAGATGCCGGGCACCTTCTCAACACCGTGGGGTGCCACGCGCACGCTGACCCCATCCCGGATGTAGAAGCCAAGGGGCTTGTTGGAACCGTGCTTGTGCAGCCGCACCCGCCGGTGGGTCTCGGGCAGAATGTCCACATCGATGATGGAGGAGATCTGACGGAAGTCCTGCGGCATGCCAATCAGCAAGTGCGGCTTGGCCCGCTGGTGCACAGGGCGAAGAAGCCCCTTCTTCTTCCGCTGCAGCGAGTTGGAGGCGAAGACGCTGGTGTCGGCTTCCGCTGCAAGAAGGAAAGAAAGCAAAGCAAGCACAGATCAGATGGGCAGGTCTCCACTGCTCAAGCCCAACCCTTGTTCCCCAGGTGTCAAATATCTCCCAACTTCATTGAGGTTCTACTAGCCACCATATTCTACCTCCATTGTCAAGTATCAGTATGCCTTTGAATACCTCTTGCTGGGAATCACAGGCAGGGAGAGGGCTGTTGTGCTCATGTCCTGCTTATGGGCTTCCCATAGACAATATGCTGGCCACCGTGAGAACAGGATGATGGACTAGATGGGCATGTGGTCAGATCCAGCAGCCTCTTCTTATGTTCCTAGTCCTCTCTCTGTCCCCTGTGCACTCATCCTGACTTCAACACAAATCAAGGGCCATCTCTAGGATTAATAGTGCTTTAGGAACACACCCCTTCCACCTGCCATGATCAGTTTTGCAGCATTACCAAGCCCAGCGCTTCTTGTGCAGGATTGCAAAACCTGGCTCTGCAACAGGCCCTCCTGCTCCCCGATTTCCCCAGAAATGCCCATGAAAGGGGACAAAAACTAGCTTTCAACAGTTTTCCCCTGACTGGTATGAGTGTGGTGCATGAGTGATTTAACTTAATGAACCTAACTGAGTCTCGTTCATTTCAATGGTTCTACTCTGAGTAAAACTCAGCTGAATACCACCCATTGTCTGGTAAGCTCACTGAAACATACATCTTAAGTTATGAGAATATGGAGCAGAAAGATCCATGTTGGGGTTATGATTGTTTGCTTATGGTTCAGAATGAGTTACTAGTAAAATAAAATAAAAACTAGGGAAAAATAATTTTTACCAATGCACCACAGACTTAACAAACTTAACACTGAGCTGCTGAGTTTAGCATGGCACCCAGGACAAACACCCAGCTCATCCCGTTTTGTTCATATCCATAGTTCCTTTCTTCGTTGCTCTGCCAAACACATTATTGATTTGCTTGAATATTTGTATCCCTACTTTCCAGCTCTTTAGGACCCCCAAGTTGTCTAGATGATCACAGACACAGTGTCAGCTACTGCAGAGGTGGTTGCCAGGCACTATAAATTTCTCTCATACCAAAGAAGGCTTTTCAACAAAACCTGTCTGCGTTTAGCCAGCTGATCTGTATCCCTTGGGAGCTGCTGGTTCTCTAACAACCTTGGAATTTTTGAGACGCTGAATGTTTTAGCATCATGGGAGTTAATAATGTTGCATGACAGGAGAAACATTTCCAGTTTACAACATCTGAATGCAAAAGTGTCTTTTTGGCTGGGGAGGAGGGGGGAAGTGGGACACCACTGTTTTGTGGTAGTAGTTTATATATAAACCCTGTGAGCAAGGAGCAGTACCAGAAATAACACAGGTTGAGACCCCAGTGTGCATTACAGAGAATGACTATATTTCCATTGAAATGTGAATGGCTCTTACAGCATTCCTTTTGTAGTGCTCCCTATTGCCAGGGACGTGGGGTGGAGAAAAGGGGGGAAGTTGATCACACTTGGGCCCTGACAGATCATGACCGTGAGTGATGTGCCACTCCCTTGTATTATAACGCCACATCATTAGGCACCAGAAGGCACAGCCAATGCAAAATGCTGAGCAGGTCTCATTCTGCTCAGTAGTGCTGACTCCCTCCTCGCACACTTCTCTACCCAGGTCAGATCCTGACCCATGCCTAGATAGATGTACCTGCCAGTGCTGGAGAGGGAAGAGGAACTCAGCCCCTTCTGGGATTACCCACTGTATGCCAGGCTGGGATTAAAGGGGATATGAATAATTCAGTTTTAATCACACTTTGAGCTGTACTCTGCAGACTTAACTCTGTCGCTGCCAGCTCAGGCTCTGGTGTTCTCCTGCAGCAAAAGCAAAATAAAGGCTGTGCCAACAGCCAGACCCTAGAGCGGAACCTGCCAGTTTCCATGAGGTGCCCACATCTGAATTCCAGGGGAATTCATCAGGAGTAACTGGGACTCAGAACACACAGGCACAAATGAGAATTGGCTCTGAAGATCTGGTGCTGGGAGGCAGTGGGAGAAAGAGACAGGAAGACCAAGGCAGAGCCCTTGTCCTCTTGCTAATTCCATGTGCTAATTTATCAAGTGCATGTTAATCTAAATTGGTTTCAGTGGAGTAAACAGACCATCACACACATACACAGAGCAGGAACTTTATATAAAATACTTGGGTTTATTATTTAAGATTGTCAGTCCCAAATGCTAAATCTAGTAAAAATGCATTTAAAGATTGAATAAACTGGAGGAGAGGAGAAATATGTCCTTTTAATCACCCAGTTTTGACCCTGCAGCAGGAATGGGGACCCTCCAGATAATGCTCACTACATCTCTTGCCATGCCTGGTCATTGGCCGTGTGGGGTGAGGCTGATGGGATTCCCCATTCCTGCCCTAGAGAGTAAGCAGAGACTCTTAAGGGCGCTCTCTTCTGCACTGTGAGAAGCATATCATGAATGTCCTCTGTGCAGTCGGCAAGCAGAGGGCTTCAAATGACCTCTTATCAGTTTGTCACTACAGAAAGGCGAAAGGCATTGTTATCTCAAGATAATATGACTTGAGAGGACAGGCACTGCAGAAGGCTGAATTAAGAAGTTTTGGGATCTGCAGAAAACAGGGCGGCTGACAGCAGGGGACACTCTTTTCTACTCTGTTTTCCTCCAGGGATGCCTGCAGGGGACCCCTCTACCATCTGGGCACTATTTGTCACTGCATGCCAACACTGCAGGGAATGCTGTAGGGACATAAGAGATACTAAAGAGCTGGAAAGGCTTGAAGGGCTGTCAGGCTGGAAAGAGGCTCCTTGCAAGGAAGAATTTGCTCCCTGGGGCTGCACCAGGGAGAAATCAGCTACAGCCAAAAGGGAGAATTTGCAGTTTGGGGGGGGGAAGAGGGATTCCTTTGAGATGCCACTCAATTCAAGAAGTCAGAGGCAATTAGTCATATGGGTTTTACTTGATAAACAACTTGTTTTGCGTAAATCTGCACATGGGTAAACAGAATCATTCTGAGGATGTTAAAAAAACTACAATTGCAGTGGATAAAATGGGCTTTCCCAATGTGCTGCCTTCCAGAGGTTTTGGATGACAATTGTCCAGTTGCCACTTTACCTCTTCCTTGTCTTGTTGTTCCCCCACCCCACCCCCATCTTCCTTCAATGAAATAAATAAATATCCCTGTATGCACACCCTGAAGAAATGTGCTGCACATGCCTATGCATCGCACCTAGCTGGATGGACAGTTCACCCAGCCCCCTAAAGAGGCCAAAGATATTTGTGACAAGCAACAAAATGGACTTGAAGAAATAGGAAGAGTCTGAACAGATCTGTGGTTTTAGTGCCGTTGAAATATCTGTAATATCTGAGAGAAGAGAGGCACCTGGGACCTAAACTCGTACATACTTACACACCCCACAGCAATCTCAGAAGTCGGTGCTAGCAGAGTTTTGGAATCCCTGCACAATCTACCCAGGGGAGCATGTCCAATTTCACAGCCTGGTCCCTGCAGCTTTGTAAATTAAGCCCACAGAAGGAACCGGCCCTGGCCTCAGCTCTCTTTTTATGAGCCTCCGTTCACTTTTTTAGTCATTTGCAGTGTGGAAGACCAAAAACACCAACAAGAAACCCCCAGCAACAACTAGTCATTGACAAATTTATCTTGCCTGGTTGCCTGGAGAAGACTCTGGATTGCCACAGGAGACCAGATGGGTGATGTGTTTACAAGCCTGCGTCTGTGACAGATGGCCATGCACAAACACGAACACACACACACTCAACAAAGTCAGTGTACTACACAGGACAAGAAACTTCTCAAAGTGGAAGGGAGAGCAGCCTTGCCATGTCTCTATCCTTAAGTGGCACACCCCTTATTCTACAGAGCTTGTCAGATGGAGCTCAAGAGTTATAAATATCACACAGTGTTTTTGGCGCAGCGGCTTATTTTTAGCCCAGGGAGACTGTTCAGGGCTGTGGAATCTCTCTCCACCCAACCCCACCCAGCAACCAGTCCAACTAGTGCCACCTCAGGTTTTGCAGGACCCTTGAGCAAGAAGCCCTTCATGGGCCTTCCTCCTGGAAGAGGTCCTCTCTCCTTCACACCTTGCACCATTGCCCAGTCAGTTGCCCTCTCTTTCTGAGCCGAATCTGCAGTGCTGCCCAGAACAAGAGGGACAGCAAGGTGAGTGGAGAGTTCTGACCCTTTTCCTTGACTGGTGATAGAGAATAAGAATAAGAAGAATTTATACCCTACCCATCTGGTTGGGTTTCCCCAGCCACTCTGGGTCTCCCCTGCATGCAGAAGGTCCCAGGTTCAATCCCTGGCATCTCCACGAAGGGCTCAGATAGCCTGAAGCCCTGGAGAGCTGGTGTTGGCCAGTGTGGATAATACTGAGCAAGATGGACAAAGAGATGGAAGATTCCTATCTTCCTATGAGGAGGAAGAGAAGCTGAGCCAGCCAAGGAAAGACCTGGCAAGAGGTCCTGGCAAATGCCCAGCAATGCCAATCCTGGTGCCAAGCAACCAGCATCATTGTACTTGGCAGCCCTGCAGCATCTTCTGTGCTACGAAGGCAGCCAAGAGCAAAACCGCAGGGCAGAGGAGAGCACAGGGGGCAGAGGGAGGATGCATAGGGTGCCCAGGTGTCCTGCTCTACAGAGGACCGTTTTGTCCACCCCAAGTCCAATTCAAAGATGAAAAATCATAAGGGCGGGGGGAGAATGGGGATCAGGGGCCTCGAAGTCTCCCATCAACAGTAAGCACTTGGACAACAGACTGAGCAGACGCATTGATCACCTGGTTACAGTCTTCCGCACTACGGTGACATGCATTTCTATTTTCATCAAAGTAATTATTTCTTTTTTAAAAAATTCTTTCTAAACCTGCATCTATACAGATAAATTAGCATATGAACACTTTATGCAAATTGGCACTCTTCTTCTTTCTAAAGCAATGCATAGGTGGCCACCTTAAGGATGCACTTCAAGTTTTGGCATAGCAACCTTTGCTGGGCTGTGGCTGGTGAATCAGCCATTGAGCAGGAGGCTTCAGGTAAGAGAGGGAAAAGAGGCCTTTCTTACGGCCATTTGCAGTGGGTGTTGAAAACATCTGCAGAAGGCAAAAAACAAAACCAGGCAGTAACAGCTCCTCTGTACAGGAGCCTGGATATTCCTGGGTGTTCAGCAGTAACGCTGGCATTGTCCCCAATGTTTCATTCATCTCTTTCCTGCGACCTGCCATCCAGCCCTCAGAAGAACAGCTTCCGGTGTACAAAAACAGATTTGGTGGCTCAGTAAAATAGGCTTATGCGGTTTGCCTAATTTGCATAGTTAATTCTGACAGGAGATTTTTGCACTTCTGGTTTCAAGGAGCTTCGATTTCGTTTGTTGGTATGTTTAGTTGGCAGAGAACAACAGAAATATACACTCTGCTCTCTGAAGTGGGTGAGTGTGGTTCTAGCACTGGTACAGAATCCTATACCCACTTCCCTAGGAGTCAGCCCCACTGAACTCAATGGAATTATGTATGAGCAGCTGTGCTGTTGGGTCTGGGCCTTGGGGCCACAATCCAGGTTCCCCTAAACAACCTCCCAGAGAGAGGCAAATGATGGAGGCAGCAGTAAACAGACCCAGCATCAACACAGCAGCTGCCTGGGCCAGTGCTGGTCACTATGGAATCATTACTTATTTTTCACACAAAAAAATTATGATCAGTGGTCAGCCAGCCAGGCATGTGTGTTGTTACATAGACCACTTTTAAGAACATATCCTTTTCTACAACAAAATTGTACTTATCCCCAGGTAAATGCATGGAACATCAGGGCAGCAGAAGCCAACTCCAATTTATTGCTGTGGTCATGAAGGTGCTAGGGTTTAAGTGACTTTTTAAAGTGTCAAGTTTCACATGTTCAGAGTATTTCTTGCTTTATTATAATGATAATTTGAAAACTGCCCACCCCCAACTTCTAACATATCAGGAACGTGGAAGCAGTTATAAAGCATGGAATGGTGATTGGAATTGGGAACAAAGAGCAATGTAAACTGTGCTTCAACAACTGACACATGGCCATCAAAAGTCCATCCCACAACATTCAGGGTGTTAATTTGCCTTCCCGCACAGGTTTGGGTCAGGGACGCGGGTGGCGCTGTGGGTTAAACCACAGAGCCTAGGACTTGCCGATCAGAAGGTCGGCGGTTTGAATCCCAGCGACAGGGTGAGCCCCCATTGCTTGGTCCCTGGCTCCTGCCAACCTAGCAGTTCGAAAGCACATCAAAGTACAAGTAGATAAATAGGTACCACTCCAGCGGGAAGGTAAACGGGGTTTCCGTGCGCTGCTCTGGTTCGCCAGAAGCGGCCTAGTCATGCTGGCCACATGACCCGGAAGCTGTACGCCGGCTCCCTCAGCCAATAAAGCAAGATGAGCGCCGCAACCCCAGAGTCGGTCATGACTGGACCTAATGGTCAGGGGTCCCTTTACCTTTACAGGTTTGGGTCAGGCTGTCTCCAACTGGTTTTTACGGTTTAATCTAATCTGCAAACAAGCGGGGGGTGGGGTGGGGATGATTTGGTGAAGCTATTCAAGGAGTCACTGTTTTAATTAGTTGTTATTGCCTTATAAAGCCCAGAAATAATCCACTCTGGAGTTCCTGTGGGTTGGCTGATGGAGACAATGCTCAAGAAAGCAAATGTCTTTCTCATTTAGAATGAAAATCTGCCCCATCTGCTGCCCACTACTAGCCTTAAGAGTACATGAATGAGCAAGATGGGGAAAAACAGGGATAGACCAACCTGGACCCATCCATTAGCGAAACAGAAAGCAGCTATAGGGAGCTTGCTCTGTCCCTCCTTGTGAGAAACTAAGAAGTTGTGTCCGGCTGAGTTAGCTTTTTTTCCTCCACCAGTCCCAATCTCCTTTCCTTTTGTGCTGTGTCTTTTAGAATGTAATGTTGAAGACGGGGCAATCTTATTATTGATTGTTGTAAGTAATTATGGGAGCCTTTTTTTGGCTGAAGAGTTAGGTAAAAATACTTTAGACAAATAAAGATGCTGTTAGGCGAGATTCAGATACAGGAAAATCTCATTTTTGTCCTTTAAATAGATTTAGGACATAGAGTGTTGCTGTCTCAGGACTGCAAAAATAATTTCTGGATACTGTTCCTTAAAATATATCAGTGCTGTCTCTATTCAGCAGGGCCCTCCGTAACACCCACCAAACTGTTCTGCCTTTAAAATGGTTAGGAAATAATCCATTGTTGTAATATCTGAGTACCATCAACTTAGGCACAGACAGTGTAATTCTAACCAATTCTATTCAGAACCAAGTCCTATTGAAGTCAGTGGAGCTTACTCTCATGTAAGGGAGTGCTAGGATTGCTTACTTGGGAGAAAATTCTACTGAGCTCAATGGAGCCTACTTCTGAATGGACATGGTTAAGATGGCACTGATGCCCTCCATCACAGAGATCCACAGCCTGAGCATTAAAAGCACCGCGTGCACGGCACATTTCCCACTTCCACAATTACACTGTAGGTGTGCAAAATCTGGGATCTGGCACAAAATTCAGTTTCTGAATATTTGAGCTTTGCTTTGCTTATTGTATTTATACCCTGTCTTTCATCTGTCACAGAACTCAAAGCAGCATACATGAGGGGTTTCCAAACAGTGCTACATTTGCTTAGTTTCAGCAAATGCACTGCATCGTGTGCCTTTGTTGCTGTTGCTAAAAATCAAGTTACTAGTCCTTCTACCTACAAAGACAAACTGATAAAGACAAGTGCATAGAGCTGAATGAAGTCTGACTAGCCATAGGAGGGCTGAGTGGGACTTTTAGTTATTCATGGCAGTTTTGTTGTTTTGTTCAGTTCCTTGCCTTTTCTCCTGGCTAGCAGAAATTGATTAGTCTCCCTCCCTCCCTCTCTCTCTCTCTCTCTCTATATATATATATATATTGCACTCACACACAAACTTTCACACCCACAAACACAGAGAACAAAACTGCCTATATCTTCTCTTATTTGGAGAATTTTAGCATACTTCATTTCTAATCCTGATCTCAAGGCATTCTTGCCTCTGCAGGTAATGGTGGCATTGTGGTTAGATCATGATCTGGGGAAATCCAGGCTTCAGATCCCCAAGCCAGCTACAGCCTACCCAACCTGGCAAGGCTGTTGTGAAGAAAAAATCAGTGGGTGAAGAAAATGATGTATACTGCTCTGAGCTCAACACTCTCTTGAGTTCCTTGGGTGACAGGCAGGATAGAATAAAGTACCATATTTTTCTGTGTATAAGACTATAATTCCCCCCAATTTTTCAAGTTTAAAATTGGGGGTCGTCTTATACATGGATAATGCATAGGGGGGACCGGCACTTGGTTCATTCCCAAAAAATAGGCGTTGTCTTATACACAGGGGTGTGTTATACACGGAAAAATATGGTAAATAGAATAAATTAGCTGGATTAAAATGAAAGTGAACTCTAGCCCCCTCCTTAAGAACCTTCTTACCACGTTTCTGGATGATGATCCGGAGCAGAGGATTGGCAGATGACAGAGCCTTGTGGTAATTGTCATCATTGTTGATGGGCAGCAGGTCTCCATGGATATCCGTATACCCAAGCAAGACATCCACGCAAGGGATTTGGTGGACTCTCTGGATCAGCTGGTAGAATTCTTGGAAGCCACCCGCAGTGGAGCGCTTCATGGCAAAGCGGCGATACTCAGCATCAAACTGTATAAAAGGAGATGGCCAAATGTAAATCAGCAAGCTGCTAACACGTCCCAGCAAATTCGGGGAAAGACTTGCAATACATGGCAACTGCCAGCCTTACTGCTGCCAAAGGACTTTGGACTCTGCTTCAGTAGGTCAGTATTTCCTCCCCAAATCAAGGCTACCCTTTTGATTTCTCAGTCCTTATCTTTAAGGGGGGGGGGGTGTTGTGTAGCATCCTTAACAGATATGCCAGGGAATTAAAACTGCTAGCTTTAATGCAGATGAAGTACAAAACTGCTAAAGTCTTTTCTTTTAAGAACACGACTCCTGGTAAGTAGAGTACCAACTCATTTAGAAGTGGTTATAAGGGATCAGTAAGCTCTTCTTCATGCATTTGTTATCTTGCTTCCTCTCATCTTCTCCTGGGGTCTCTGCTAGGAGACAGGAATGATATGCCTCCCTTCTCCACCTGCACAATGTGCAGGTACCAGTCACAGTATTATTTACACATGGCCAACTACTTGAACATAACGACTGAAGTGGAGAAAAAACTCCTCATTACTTTTGTATGTATCAGTTAAAGAATGTTCTCATTAACCAACTGCAGATACATACCTCAATCATGTAACCAAACTATCATTTGGGGTGAGAAACAATAATATAAATATATATATAATAAATATTATGATTTGTTTATTATTATATTTGCTGTTGCTTTTCTTTTATCTCATTATTTTTACTGTGCAGTTTTTTAAAAAAATAAATCTGGAAACTGCTCAGGGTCTCCTTTGGGAGTCCAAAAGGTAAGGTAGACATTTACTAGAATTGATCAATCAATAAACATATTGACAACTTCACATATAAATAAAGAGCTTTCTACATGATGGCTTCTCCCCACATCTCCCCCCCCCCCCACTGCAAAAAAGGAGAGGATCATTTTCAACACACTGTTGTAATGCTGAAAGAATTACAAGCAAAAGGATGCAGGTTCAAACTCAGGCATCTTCCAGTAAGTTTAAGAAGGACTTCTGCCTGAAACCCTGGAGAGTCTCTGCCTGTCAGTGCAGACAATACTGAGTAAGATTAACCAATCAACTGACTTGATATAAGGCAGCTTCCTCTGTTCCATCTGAAACTCAGAGGTATTGCTCCTAATTAATACAGACACACAAAGGAAAGACCAACCTAAAGGGAGGTGGTATTAGCAAGGAGGATGCTGCTCATATAGGACACAGAAGAGCAGAGGTGAGAAACCTGTGACCTTCCAGATGTTAGATGGCAGCTCACATCAGCCCCAACCAGTACAGTGCTCCTCTGGTTGTGAACGGGATCCGTTCCAGAGGCCCGTTCGCAACATGAGCAGAATGCAACCCATGTTTGCACTTCTGCGGGTTGCAATTTGTCGCTTCTGCACATGCGCGAGTGGTGAAACCCGGAAGTAACCCTTTCCAGTACTTCTGGGTCGCCGTGGGACGCAACCTGAAAACGCTCAACCTGAAGCAAACGTAACATGAGGTATGACTGTATAGCCAATGGTCAGCAAGGATAGGTACTGTAGTCCAGCAACATCTGGAGGGCCACAAAATTCCCAACCCCAATGAATAGATAATTGCATTGTGGAAGGCTATGTCTAGAAGCAGCAGGGAATATTTTTGGGAAGGTGCCTGGATAAGAAAGGGTCAAACCAAAAAGATTTACAGAACTGTGAATGGCCAGCAGCATTTCCCTTTCCAACTTAGTTCTGCCTCTTGTCACCTCCCAGCTCCCCAATCGAGCCTGTATGAGTCTAGGTGCACAAAGCAGATCACAACTTTTGAAGCAGCTTCCTTCTTCAGTGGGGTGTGTGGGTGGGCAACCTTTTTTCTGTCAAGAGGAGGAATCCAGCAGTGGGCAGGGTTGGAGTCAAAGTGGCTGGGACCACAGTCAAAGGTTCGTGGACACCCCCCTTTCCCCCTATCCTTGTCAATCATATGAAATTGGGCCAAGGGTGCAGGTTTCCCATCCTCTGCCCTAGAGGAACAAAAAGACACCTCGGCCAGCCAGGAGAAAAGCCCAAGAGAGATGCTGTATTGTGTGGGATGTCCCCCCACCAGACGGCGTTTTCACAAATCATGAACTGTTACAAAACCTTATTTGAAGGACCCCAAAAATGGGGCGAATCCCCACATAAGAGAAATAACATCAGTTCTAGTAGGGTCGAGAGCAGGGCTGTAGCTAGGGGGTGGTGAGTATTTCCATAAATATAAATAAAAATATTGATTATTGCCTCATAAGAAAAAGTTTTAAATAGAGGGTGAATTGAATGGGGGTTGGGGGGTTGGAGGAGAGGCAGAAAGAAGAGCTAATTTGTCCGTGGCTGGGGGTGCAATCTGGACGGTTCTGCCAAGGGCGCAAGATCATCTGGCTACGGCTCTGACCAAGAAAGAGGGAGAGAAGGACAAAAGCAGGTGAAAACAATACCAGGCACTTGCTCCTATTTGAGCTGGACTATTCCATCCCCCTACAGCAGGGCAGGAAACCTGTGGCCCTCCAGATGTTGTTGGACTCCAACTCCCATCAGCCCCTGCAACCATAGCCAATGGTTAGCAATGATGGGGGCTGCAGTTCAGCAGCATTTCGAGGGCCACAGGCTTCTTGCTTCTGCCCTGCAGTTTCATCGACTGATGAGTTTTTGATATTGTCAGATTCTAATTATATTTGGGGGCCGTTTTGCATACCAGCTCAGTATCCTCTATGCTGACCAATGGCAGCTCTCCAGAATTTCAGGCTGGCACCTTTCCCGGCCCTACCTGAAGATGTCAGGGTCCAGTGGCGTAGCGTGGGGGGTGCAGGGGGGGCCGGCCGCACCGGGCACAACATCTGGGGGTTAGGGTTAGGGGGCGCAAATCCACGGGTTAGGGGGCGCAAATTACTTGCCTTGCCCCGGGTGCTGACAACCCACGCTACGTCACTGTCAGGGTCCAAACCTGGGATCTTGTCAAAGGATTTGTGTTCTTAAAGGCAGGATATACAGTGGTACCTCAGGTTAAGTACTTAAATCGTTCCAGAGGTCCATTCTTAACCTGAAACTGTACTTAACCTGAAGTACCACTTTAGCTAATGGGGCCTCCTGCCGCCGCCGTGCAATTTCTGTTCTCATCCTGAAGCAAAGTTCTTAACCAGAGGTACTATTCCTGGGTTAGCGGAGTCTGTAACCTGAAGCGCATGTAACATGAAGTGTATGTAACCCGAGGTACCACTGTAAATTAGAGCAACAAACAGCCTATTAAAGCCAAACAGGGAACTTTGGATAATGCCTGCCTTACAGTAAGCCAGGTTATTCGCACACTCAGCTTGGTGTTGTCCTCTGCTCTGATTGCCACCATCTCTCCAGGGTCTTAGGCAGAGGTCTGTCCCATCACCCAGACCTTTTAACTAGAAATTCAGGGATTCATCCTGGGACGTTTTGCATGCAAAGCATGTGCTTTACCAAATAGCCATGATTCCTCATTGGACTTAAGTCAAGGGATGCTCCAGAAATGCTGTATATAATCTGGGGTGTGCCTGTCTGTCCCAGCCAGTTGCTTGTGGGAAAATTCTGACCCTCTAAAGAGAACAACAAATTTAATCCCAAGGGAGAATTGATGTCAATCGTCAGTAGAATTCTAAGAAAGATCAGTTGGGTTCTGCGACCTCCAGTCTGAAGTTGGAGATCTGTCCTCGCGTTTGCAATGCTTATTTGGGGAGGGAAATACATCGTAAAGGATCTCTCTCCATTCTCTATTACTGCTCTCTCGAAGGCACGTTAATAAACCCAAGAAGACTGAACTGCATACCTGCTGACCCACCACGTATCCCACCTCCCTTCACTTCCAAATCGGATTTAGCGCTGGATCAATATCCGGCTTCACCGATTCCTTGAGGCATCCCCTCGCTTCCAGAAATCAGCTCGGCATCCCTCCGAGGCCCCGATGCTAAATAGCCACGGGTCTGATGCCCGGTTCTGGTGCACCATTGCATAACCGGCGGAGAACTCTGGCATCCCTCGGTTCCCTTTCCCGGGAGAAGGAGGTTTTCCCGCACACATACTCCGCATCGAAGGCAGAAATCCCCACGGATCGGAGCAATAATCCTCTGCTGGCAGTCTCCACACTGCCGAAGGATTGGCGGGGGGGGGGGGGGGCAGCATAAACAATCGGCCAGTTCCGCCATCCACTAGGCCAGGCTAGACGCGCACAGCAGACACCCGGGACAGGAAAGAAAGCGGGGGTGGGTGGGGAGGGCGAGATGCGTCGCGCAAGCCCGTCGTGGGGATGGTACAAGCCTGGCGTGGGGGGGGGGGGGAGACGGTGGCGGCAGCTGCCCGGTGCACCTGCTGCAAGCCGGATCAAGGCTGCCCCCAGCAGGGCGAACGGGCCCCCGGCGTGACCTGGGCCCCCGCGACATGAGGGGAAGGGGGCGAGCTAGACGGACCTCGCGTTTGTGGGTCTGGAAAACCACTCCCGAGCTGGAGAGGCTGCAGCTCCGGCGCCGCCGATGCGCAGAGCTTGCCCTGCTGCAGGTGAGCACATTCCCCTTCTTTCTCCCGGGCAAATCAGCAGCAACAGATTTGACCCCCCCTCTCTACCTCGCCGCCCCCCACCCTGGGGGCGGGCGCGCTCACCTTGCTCTTGACCTCGATGACGGGCTCCGGGCTGCGCGCCGGTGTGCGGTGGTGCTTGGCCATGCTGCGCCGGGCAGGGCAGGGCAGGGCCGGCTCGCTCCTCCCGCCCCGCACTGCTACTGCTGCCGCTGCCGCTGCTGCTGCTCCACCAGCAGAAACAGCAAACAGGAGAAGGAGGCGGAGGCCAGGAGAGAGAACTCACCGGCCATGACGTCAGCCCCCAGCAGGTTGGGGGGATGCCGCGCGATTGGCGTAGGCCGGCCGAAGAGGGCGGGCTCAGAACGTCCGCGGCGCAAGGATGGAAGGTTGCTGACAACGTCGCCTAGGTAACCGGGGCCCGGGGCGTTCCAAGGTGTATCCGACGGCGCGAGATCAAAAGGAGGGCGAGTTGGACGGCAGTTCGCGCGCGCGGACGCTGGGGGAATCCGCCTCCCCGGGGTTGTCTGGCTTCTACATGAGGCAGAGAGGTCGAGCCTTCATTAGTTAAGTGCTGCAATAGCCTCTGCTTGTTGCTTTTGTTAAGAGCGTCGTTATGGTTCAGAATTAACAGCAGATGTAGCTGCCGTTGCTCTAATAAGTGCAAAAAAGGAGATACTGCCTGCAGCCTCGGAGCTCAAGGCAGCTGCACACGTTCGTTTTGCAGCCATTCTAATGAGAAACGCAGTGGGGAAGAAAGACTGATAACCTTCTGGCTGCCGTCCAAGCTCTGCGTCGGGGAAAGATGGAACATGAGGGGCAGGACGGCGGTATAGGAGACTCTCAGAGCCTTGCCAGTGAGTAGCAATAAGGAAATGGATTGGAGGCCCCTTTTGGTGGCTGGTGCACACAAGCACTTTTTGGCAGCAGAAAGACCCATACAAGTGAACCCACACCCCATGAGGATGCATGGACACGACTTCTGTGCTACTCACGTGTCACTGTGCAAGTAGTATATTATGGAGTTGCAAATATAGTGTAACTTTCTTTTGGATAGCATAACTTGATTTACACTCAGTATGACAATCCATTAGATGTGCATTGAATTGATCCCACCTTCCCCCCTCCCCCACCATCAAAAATATGTTGATGTACTAGAGCAGGGAGGCTTTATGTACTGCTGACAAGTCACCTCACTTTCAAACAGCTTGAAAACTTTGTTCTAAACTATGTAATTTCTGACATAAAAAGCTTTTTCTCTACCAGATCTATGGAACTCACTGCCATAGAATGCTATTCTGCCTGTGGACTTCTTAAAAGGACTAGAGAAATTCATGGCAGAAACTCTGGGGTTAAAATCCCAAGTGCTATATAGACATATTTGCATGTATGTTGGTAATTGTACAGTAACTGTACTGTTTTGGGTTTTCTGCATGCTTGTGAGGTATTTGGACTGTGTTGTTGATGGCTATGAGAGCAAAAACTTAAGGAAGGAAGGAAACGTAAGCTTCTTGGTGTCCTGAAAAAGCGGTCAGATTTGATGCTAGATTAGGAACTACACACTTTATGACTCACGGTACACGGAGATACATGCTGCTGCTGAATGATTGCAGCTCTCTGAATTCTTTTAATTACCCTTGAGAAGGGGGATCATCTCATCTGAAATGCACTGGGGAGTATCAAAGTAGAAGAACACAGATTTTTAAAAGGATTGAATGAACAGTGTTGATCAATAGTGGAGACTTTGTACATTATTTGCTTTGCCATGCAGCAGATGTTTTCTATAGGGACAATGTAAATAGTTACAGCACCACTGACCTCTTTTTTTGCTGCTGTTGTTGTTGACTCACCAGATATTTATGTGATATCTATTCTGTGAGGTGTGAAATAATAAAGAGGAGAGTGCATTTAGCTGCGAGTAGAAACCACAGAGCCTAGGGCTTGCCGATCAGAAGGTCAGCAATTCGAATCCCCGTGATGGGGGTGAGCTCCCATTGCTCGGTCCCTGCTCCTGCCAACCTAGCAGTTTAAAAGCATGTCAAAGTGCAAGTAGATAAATAGGTACCACTCCGGCGGGAAGGTAAACAGCGTTTCCGTGCGCTGCTCTGGTTTGCCAGACGCGGCTTAGTCATGCTGGCCACATGACCCGGAAGCTGTACGCCGGCTCCCTCAGCCAATAAAGCGAGATGAGCGCCACAACCCCAGAGTTGGTCACGACTGGACCTAATGGTCAGCGGTCCCTTTACCTTTACTTTACTAGAAAGCCTAATATAGTGTAGCCACAACTGAAGCCAGTTTTTGCAGTAGCAACACTAGGCATATCAGCTGCCCCCCCCCACCTAACACAGTGTAGACCTCCCTTTTCCTGGTGCCAGTGTGGTGTAGTGGTTAAGAGCGATAGACGCGTAATCTGGGGAACTGGATTCGCGTCTCCACTCCTCCACATGCAGCTGCTGGGTGACCTTGGGCCAGTCACACTTCTTTGAAGTCTCTCAGCCCCACTCACCTCACAGAGTGTTAGTTGTGGGGGAGGAAGGGAAAGGAGAATGTTAGCCGCTTTGAGACGCCTGAAGGGGCGTGAAAGGCGGGATATCAAATCCAAACTCTTCTTCTTCTTCTTCATCTGCTCAGCAGGCAGCAGTGAAAATGGGGCTATGGGTGTGGAGAAATAAGAGTGGGCAGGACTTGGAAGAGAGGTGGATAAGCCATGCCTTGCTCATGGTCTGGAGGTTCCCCACACCACACCTGGTATATAGGTTTTTGTTTTCTATGCTGTCTTCTCTTCAAAAACAAAACAACAACGCTGCTTACAATCTATGTTGACAAACTGAGGATGAAGAGAGGGTGAAGGAAGACTAAACTTTGGTGTCCTTGCCACCTCCTTGCTACCCTGTCAGGGCACATGTTGCCACACTCCCGGACACCTTACCCCACTCATGCTCTTGGTGGGCTCACTGACTGCACTAAGAGCTACGATTGCTGCTCAAATCAGCACTGCTGCACTCAGCACCCCTGAATCCTTGGAGATTTCTGTACAAGACTGCAAAGTTACATAGGCCCCTGATTCTTGTGCATGTACAAGATTTATCATGGACCTTTCAATGCTGGCTGATCCCCATGCCTCCAGGATGATGGCTAAGAGCTTCAAGTTCAGAGCAGACTTGAGTCTTGGCAGGCCTCTACTTAAGAATTAAGCACTTATTTACAATGTAATCTCTAAATGCAAACACACAGAGAAGCCTTAGGGCACTTTTAAAGACAATTATATATTTGTAGATGGGAGCTCATTTCTTCAGATGCATGAAATGCAGTCCTTAGTTAGCAGATTCATAATATACAGAATGTACACAGGGAGGGACGCGGGTGGCACTGTGGGTTAAACCACTGAGCCTAGGACTTGCCGATCAGAAGATTGGCGGTTTGAATCCCCACAACGGGGTGAGCTCCCGTTGCTCGGTCCCTGCTCCTGCCAACCTAGCAATTTGAAAGCATGTCAAAGTGCAAGTAGATAAATAGGGAAGGTAAACGGCATTTCCGTGCGCTGCTCTGGTTCGCAAGAAGCGGCTTAGTCATGCTAGCCACATGACCCGGAAGCTGTACGCCGGCTCCCTTGGCCAATAAAGCGAGATGAGCGCCGCAACCCCAGAGTCGGCCACTACTGGACCTAATGGTCAGGGGTCCCTTTACCTTTTACACAGGGAGACAGACAGACAGATGATGTGAACAGTAGGGCTCAAATACCACAAAATATAAGAGGTGCAGTTTAGGGATGTCATGACTTCTATTCTTAAAGTTTACAATCCCCTCCCCCATCTCGCATATCAGTTGAGGATAGTGCTTGATACATTTGATAAAGTTCCCTCTAGTACAGAGGTAGGTAACCTCCAGTCTATGGGCCAGACTTGGCTGGCCAGGGGTTCAGATTTGGCCTGCAAGCCCATTTTCCCAAAACCATGCCCACCTGCACCACACCTGATGTTTTATGTGACAACAGGTGTGGGCTAGATAGAGACACAGCTGCCAGTGCCAATTGGGAACCTTAAAGTGCAAGGGAAAACTGGCAAGGGTAAACCCCAAGCCTCAGGTGCTTTAAAGCACTTTGCAAGCACTGTGTGGTTCTTTGAAGTCCCAACAATGGGACCTCAAGGCTCCCAGTTACCTGACATCGTTGTGACATCAGGTGATTGAGAGGGGATGGCCTTGCCTGTCTGTCCAACTTGGCCCACAAGCCTAGATCTGATAAGGGTTTTGCCTGAGGAGCCAAAACGGCTGCCCGCTTCTGTTTAGTGCATGAAAGTTTCTGCCACAATAAGGTTTTTAAGGTGCTGTAGGACTTGTTTGTGTTTTCTGTAACTGATTAACAAGGCTACCCTTCTGGAATCTCCCATGTACAGATTCTTATTAATATGAAATGCTATTTCCCATAATGAAGGTCGTGAGAGAAAATCTACCCTTCAAAGGAACTCTAGCATCTAGTCCCGGTTGTTGTCTGAGGTAGGGATACTGGCAGAGCCCTTAAGATTGTAACAGAAATGGGCAAGATTCCTGAGGCCTTTCTCTCTGGGGACTGAGAGTGGAGTGCAGTTATCTACCTGGAATCTTCCCCCCTTTTCTTCTTTTCTTGCTAAGTTGTCAAATGAAAGAAGGGAGAAGAGATCAATTGCACCTACTATGTTCCCCTCTGAGCAGAAATTGACAAAACCAGGGTTAGGTGATAAGCCCAGTCTCATCCAATTCATACACTAGAGTGGTGGTACAGTTAGCAAAATTTAGGCTCTGGATTTATCGTCCTTGTGCATCCCAGTCTTTAGATGGCGAGTCCTGCTGTCTTTGAGGGTGCTCCTGCTCCGTTCTGCAGAGTGGGGCCCTGAACTTCTGCCCCAAACTCCTGCCCTGATGGGAAATGCTTTATGCCAAGGCAGGCCACTGTTCGTTTTTGCTCAGTATTGTGCACAATGACTGGCAACAGCTCTCCAGGGCTTCAGGCAGTGGACATTCCCAGAACCTTCTGCATGAAAGGCAGATGCTCTAATATTGTAGCTCAGTGTTGTCCAGCAACTTGCAGTAGCTCTACCAGGCAGGGTTTCATACAAGGGCAATTCCCAGCTGTACCTGGAGATGCTGAGGACTGAGCCTGGGACCTTCTGGGTGCAAAACAG